CTCGGCACTACGGAAATTAGGGGACATTTTTTATTTCCTAAGTTTTCTTAGACATTTTCAATATCTGAAACTAAATGTCTGAAGGCTTATATGTTGAAGAAAAACGAGTTTCTGAACAATTTTTGGGGACTGAAAAACTACCCAAGAGGATAACTTAGAAGTCGGAATAAAACAATCAACACGATTTACTTCGTTTCTGGTTTTCTAAGAAAAAGAGAGAGGACATTGCTAGTTTTTAGCGTTCGAGACTCTTTCTTTACAGCTTTCAAACTATTTAATCTATTAGACAAAAAATACAATCTTTCGCTCCATTATTTTACGTGGCGTTGACTTGCATGTCTGTTCTCAGGAAGTGAAAACGCGAAGTTCTGCAACAAAACGACTTTTCAGTTTGTTAGTTTTGAATTTCTTGGACCAGAGTCGAGTAGTGCTTCACCGTCTTCCTCTTGTTCCCTATTGCCATGTAAGCTGCACCAGTTATACACAGCGCAAGTACGCCAACTAGCATAGCGATAACAGGTATGTTTGGACCTGAAATAAAGAAAAACTTCTATGAACTACTATTTAAAACGTTCTTCTCTCTTTTGTTTTGTTTTTTGCTCGTTTCGGTTTGATCTATCGTATGTTATTTTTGATGATTTTCTCTCTTTTTTTTAACATTCGTAAAATCTAAAATGAAGTTAACCAAAATAAGTTTTTGGTGTCAAACATGCAGCGTAATTTCCAATTCCCTTCAATCCGATAAGCTGTCTTTCGGTTCAAAATATATTATGTAAATTAGATATGATCGTATTGTGAGTTTTGGGCTGGTAGACGAGTTTTTCCACATCAGATACTGATAATGACTTCTACGTGGCGAAAACCACCCTTTCCCTTTTTCGGCCAGTTCCATTTCGACGCCCTCCACCGAAGCTAGACTAAACTAACCACCAACGACAATCTTTTTTGAGGGCTTTTGATTTCTAAAACGCTTCTAGTCTAAGCTTTAAACTAATGACGTTCCTTGTTTTCATTCGACTCTACAAAAAAGTTCTGCCAGTCAAGTCAGTTATTTTGGCTGCTTTCTGGAGCAGAACAATGTTTATGAAGGTAAAATAAACTAGATCTATACCTGCACTTTCAATTGAGCTGCTTTTCCCTTTAACATCAACCTCTTCTTTTGACAAAGACAGAGGGCCCTGGGCAAGAGGGTATACGTCATTGCCAAGCTCAGCTGCATAACTGACGTCACGTTTGCGTCGTTCAACGTCTTCACAAATGCGCACGCATTTGGAGTTTGGGTCAGAGGCATTACAAATTCGTACATGACAATGGACGAAAACAAATGGGTGATCACCAATGAACGAAAAGCTTTCTACGCTAAATCTCTCAGACAGGTGATTAGATGGATGATAGATCAGTGTTTCATCTACTTTACAACTGCAAAAGAAACAAAATGGACACCAATGTAATTTTATCACCTGCTACTATTAGTTTAAGCAAAGGTCTGGCTTATCACTGTTGAGATCTGAGCCAATCATTGCGTTGGCCGTAGGAGAAAGCAGCCTAATCCCGTCTCTATAAAATAGCTGAAGAGGCTGTTTCGATCCTAATACCAATACCCCGTATATTATACAGCCTTAGAATGAAGAACATCTGGTAGAGCCATTGATTCGAGTTTACTTTTCAAGTTTATTCAGTAATTTATTTCGCGTTTTGTTTAGCTATTTTCAAAACGCTTCGCTGTAATAAAGATGAGAATTGGATATATTAATTTTCACGGGATAAAGATATTACAGAGATATTGTGGCCACGAATCCTTTTTTTCCTATTTTTTTAAACTGGCCTTTTTTGTTTTCTGTGCTTTTTAAATATTTTTTTTCTCACCCCTTTTGAATTATCCAGTACTTGGGGTTACTGTTTCTGTTTGATGAAGGCGTGGCGTAACAATCCCTGGCGAGGATGGTTAGCCTGTGGTCATCAGTGTCAACTGAAGCTTCAAAATAGATCCTCTCCCGTAGCTTCTTCATAACGGGGAAGTCGCTCTGAGTGTATGGTCCTACGAATCTAAAAACGACGACAAATATGATCACATATTGTGAGAAAGTGCACAGAAAATGTGACAATGTGACATGTTCCAAACTTCAATCCATGTATTAATTTATATTTAAGGACATTTAGATATTCACATAAATCTGCAGTTTTTTTGACAGTCCAAAGGAAATCAATGGTGTCAAGAATGTTGTACAGATTTCAGTGCACGCCTTGTGTGCCTGTTCTTTCTTTGGAATCATGGGATTGCAAACCGATGTGCTTCGTTGTCATTGCTTGCTTTTGGTGTTTAGTGGATTTAAATTGTTTGCGATTCATAGAATTCAAGCCTATGGTATTCATATAGCGAACTAAAGGCATTTGATCCTTCCTAGTAAATGGTCCTTCGAACCGGATATGGTTACCAGTTTTCCAGGAAGATAGGATAACAGGGGCTAACTTATTATTTGTACCCTCTATCAAATAACAAAAATATGTTATATGGACAGCAGGTGTGGAATATCAAACCTCATATCTGGGAACAAGGTAAGCTTGATAACAAATCTTCCAAATCCTTTCTTTGAGAAAATCACTTTCTTGCTAAAAGGCTTCAAGCCAACGCTAGTTACAACTCCATTGTTGTCATAGTAGCAGTGAAAAGGAATCTGAAAATCAGGGACGTGAGAGACGACGTCCTTTAACATTGGTGGAACGGGTAGAGCTTCGTTGGTGTAAACAACGGAAGAAATTGTGTGCCTTTTTTTGGTACCGCAGCTGGTCAGAGGTACGTCGAGGAAAAAGTGAGTGAGGTTTTCAGAAGCTGTGCAGCTCACGTTCAATGCTCTGATGTGCTCTCGGTCAGCTCCACGAAGTACGTACTTGGGAATGGCGATGACCATGTTGTTTTTGAGGCAACTCACGCTGGCCTTGTTAGCTGAAGAACAAAAGTGTATTAACTGATAGCAAAATGTCATTAACTGAACAGAACTGGTATGACTTCCCAGAGAACGTTTGATGGAAAGCCATTGTTTTGCTAATCTGGGTAATAATTGCCAAGGAGCAAGGGAAAGAGTTAAATAATCATCATTTTGCAGTATAGTTTGACACTCAGTCTTTGCTTTTAATTCTTTTGTTATTACTGCACATATACATTTTGTGTGATGAAAAAATATATAAAGGCAGTTTCTCCATATCGGTGGAAACCTCTTGTCAAATCAATCAAACTTTTTCCAAATTCAAGTGGGACATTCAGCCCTTATGAATCACTAAGTAACCTTTGCCCTGTTTATCATAACTTTTAAGTATTTTCTATCCAATAAGCCAGTTTTAAAGTTCCCTCGCTCATGAATAACCAAACTAAGACTAAAAACTTTACTTTTCGGCTAGGAGAAATTGTATTTTATACCAAAATCGAACTAATAGAGCTGTGTGAGAGCTTTTTTCAGTAATGTTTTTTTTTATGACCCTCGTTGAAGAGGGGTGAAGAAAGGCGGCGGGAAACGGTTACCGAGAAAATATAATGTAGTTACCAAAGGCCAAAACTGCCAGTAATGAAACGCTGTATCGGCTTTTAATATGTTATTAGACAACTCATTTAACTAACCTAGGTTGTCATCTGCTTGATCTAATTCCACATCATTCTCTGAAAATCAAGCAAGCAGCAGTTGTTAGCAAAATATAATACAGTAATTTGTACAAGGAGCTCAAGAAGGGCTCACCCTACTAAAACGTCAAGAACCGAGCGTGCACGGAATGTACAATTCAAATAGCTAGTCTAAGTAGTTGCATTCCAAAAAAGCAGATACTTACGTGATACTTGTATCTATGTTGTGGTCGAACAAAGTCGATAATACTCTAAATACTCAGTTTGCATTTTATGTTAAACTGGGTCAGCAAAAGTCAGTACATGATACTAAGCGCAATTTTATTAACACTTACCTACAACATGAACGTTCTTCGAAGAGGTATCGCTATTTTCTGTTTCCGTCGCAGCTCGCATGGCTTCTTGAGGGGTGTCGTAGGAAACAAGTTCATAACAGTTCACAAAGACAAAGTAGAACTGAAAAATCACAAATAAGGCGGTCTTGCCGCGTGGTTTCATGATAAAATTAACGCTTTACAGACAATAAGAACGACATTTAGGTTGAGAAAAATATTCCGTAATCTCAGTGAACTCATGCATCACAGAGAACAAAGAAGGATAGCGGAATAACATAACGTAGTGTTTCTTTTGTCGGCTCTAATACCTTTGCATAATTGGAACACGGAAAATCTTTCTCAGTGATCCATGAATTTGCGTAGTGTATTTTAAAGAACTAATCCTTATTAGCGATTATTCACCATGACGGAACGTGACAGTACTACATCAGTTGTAGACTGAATCAATTATGATGCTTGGAAATACAGTCAACTCTTAATTCTAAGAAGGACACCGTTGACGGGGCATAAGTGCCCCTTAAAAAGCTGCCCGTCTTATAGAGAGTTTTTACTGAACATCGGGAAGGACCCATCACTAATGGGGGTTAGAAAAGAGTTGACGACTGTAGCAGAATTCATTTGATTTTTCTTGTTATTACGATGTCCAAGTAATTCGAAAGTTTTCAGTAACCTCGCTTTTGCCCACACTCAGAGCTTTATCGATCAAACAAGAAATATAGAACAACTGACTATGGCTTTTTCGATTCGGGCAATAGACATCTCGTCCTCATCAACAGTTTCCACAAACTACAAATTAATTATACTATTGTGCGAATCGCATGAAAATTTCAGTATTTATTATTCCATTTTATTTTACTTACATAAAATATAGTTTTGAGCACATATATTTTAAAGTCACTTGAAAAGTTTTTCGATTTGATTAAAAGGGCTGCGGTATCACGGCTGTCTAGCATTGGGTTAATATTGCCTATAAAGCGTCTTCAGTTGCTAAGGAACTCAGTTGACGTTAGCGAAACATTTACTTGTAAAAGACAAGATCACTATTTCGTATCAAACAAATATCTCTTCGAAAGCGTTATACCAAACGATACAAACACCAAGAATGAAATTGACTTTAAAACACTACTAGGCTGACAAGTTTTCAAAAACGGAAATTTGCAATCCGTTTTAATCTTCTTCAGGTTTGTCCATCCGTGTCTCCTTGTACTTACTCTTGTACTTTCCTTATTTTTATGTTTTACTTAATATGACGGCTTTTACTGTTTGAATTTTGTAACACAGCTCCTTTCAACATAACAGCGAGAGTCCCCAAAAGGGTTCTTCAATCCCGTAATCCCGACCCAAATTTCGCTTAATCCCGTAATCCCGAGGGTTATTTTTGGCATCACTCATCCCGCACTGCTTTCAGTCCCGAATCTTGCCCCCATATTGCTTTAAAATCCCGAATCCCGGCCTCTAAATAGGGCAAATCGCGCATCCCGAAAAACCTACTAGGGACCTTCAACAGCATCGTGCCTCGTTCCAAAGTTGCTGTCGCTACTGTATTTTCCCAACAGTAAAGTCCATTCAACCAACCAACTTAATTAGAGTCATTTCTTTTTGAAAATATTGTATCCCTGGATACCGAGCCGTTCTGGCTTCGTCCGCTGTATTTTTCAAGTTTCAAGTTTACTGTCACAACTGCATGTGGGTGCAGCGATTGTTCAATCGCCCGTAGGTCGCGGTGCGTCGATAATACTGCCTTTACGTTACTGTATCAAGAAAAATTCAGTTGACACTAAGGAGCACTCTCTCTATCTTCGGTTCTTTCTTCTTTTTTAACGGTTGTGTGACTTTTCCGTGTTGCTGGGCTGGTAGGATTACCGGAATAGAAGAAAAGCCTGGAAAAATAAAACGGAAGGAAAAGTATGTGGAACAGACGATATTTAATCTGGGTAAAATGTTCATTATATTTCAGGTGTAGAGTTTATCCTATGAAATGATAGTTTGAGCCCCTAAAGATCAGGATGCTAGGCCTTATGTAATATGACATCTTTACTTCGACCCTTCCATTCTTTAACTCTCTTTTTAAGTGGCCATCTCTTAACTGAAGTGGGACACTAACTGAGTAGCCTGCGAAAACATCCGTTTCTCCTCGCTCTTCTCCGCTGGGGACGTTTCGCGCGGAGGAACGTCTGCGACTCAGCGACAGAAATTCCATACTGATGACGCAAATCAATCTTTACTCAATAAATCCGGTGGTCATGGGGTTTCAAATGTAAATTTATTCAATTTTAGGTTTCTCCTGGTCGATTTTGGTGAAGGGCTGTGTTCATCTGCGAACGAGCTCCAGCAAAACTCAAATGTTTGTTCTAGAGAAGACTACATTCCACAAATATTGACTGTTTTGTTAGAGATTCATCGCGTTTACATTTGACCTTTGTGACCTGTTGTCTTTTGTCTGTCATTCGTAAACAATAGCTAATATCACTCCGTCGACCAATCAGGGCTTCTGACCGGATTCTGGACATATTTTACGTCATCAGTATGGAATTTCTGTCGCTGAGTCGCAGACGTTCCTCCGCGCGAAACGTCCCCAGCGGCGAAGAGCGTGGAGAAACGAATGTTTTCGCAGGCTACTAACTGAGTGACCTCTTTTCAAACGCCTTTCTTAGATGTCACTCAACGAGGACCAACTCATCAGTCTAGGAAAGATCTCCTTCTCCGATAGTTTGAAGCCGTGCGGGAGTCTCCCACCGAAGTGACGGATTCAGGAACTGTGGTTTAAGCCATTACTTCCTCATACAAGTACTAGACAAAAGGGCTCATGACTTATAGCCGGTAGAGTCTCATGAATAGAGTCCCTAGTCCCATCCTTAAACAGACTTGATATGATGGACTCATGTAATGGGACATATCTTACCGTTCATTCCTACAGATGTTTTCAACTGATGCGAAATCTTGACCAGCAGCATCTCTCAGTCCCATTTTCGCTCCCTTCCTCCTTGTTAGAGCACCAGTAGATACGATACCATGTTTGGAATAATGGCAACTGAAGGAGATCTTAACTTCTGGTGCTCGCGTGATAATTGTTGTCGGTGAAAACACTTGCCGAACCATATTGCTGTATACTACACTGTCATTTGTGTGTGTGCTCGAGGTGCTACAGCCAATCAACGTCGTTGTTAGAAAAAAGTGCGTGCCGTTATCTTTCGCTGTGCAATTAGAGTCCAGGAGTCGAAGGTTCTGTCGATTGACGCCCAAAAGTAAGGACTTGGAAAGAAAGATGGACATTTCGTTCGGGTGGCATTTCACGACTGCACCGCAAGCTGAAAGATAAAAATTATTGTAAGGAAGTATCAGACAGCTTATGATATTCCGACTAAGCTTTTATAAAACGCGCACCGTTGGAGTAATTGTTAAGTGTCATCGTTGGAAGAAGCCATGTGGAAATTGAAGTCTGCAGGTCATTATGGGAAATGAGCGGGAAAATGGGACACGTGGTCACTTGTTAAGACCAAATTAGGTAAATAACCATTTTTTGCAATTTTTTTTTTATTTTAAATAAATAAATATTGTTCATTTCGGTTGTTTACTAAATAACCAATTGTGCATTGATAGATGACCAACTTTCCATTCTGGTCATGTATAAAAAACCAATCTCACATTTTGGTTATTTCAAAAGCTTTGCATTTTGGTTATTTAGAAATAACTACTTTTTAATTTGGGTTATTTGCTAGATAACCAAATTTCAGTTTTGGTTATTTGTAAATAATCAAGTTTATATTTTGGTAACTGTAATGTGGTTATTTGTAAATACTACCTTTGTTTTGGTTAGATACGAATAACCACTCTAAATACTAAAAATACATTTGGCGTCCAATAATAGCAAAGATGATCTTTCCACGTGTAAATCTGGGGGAGTTACGTTTATATTTTAAATAGGGGGTTTTTCAAATTATGGGCTTTATGGGGGAGGGTTGTCTTATATTTTCGAAGTGGTGTTTTATCAGTTTAGCGAGGAAGGAGTTCTAGTTGGGCTTATGCAAGAGAAGTCAATTAAAGGGAAATTATTACCTGTTAAAAACCCAACAACAAGAACTATTTATCAGGAAGAATAGGAAGGCAAGATGGGAAAGACTGCAAGCGTTAAAATAATGAACGATAAATTTGACACAATATTTAACCATGAATACCTAGGAGGTTATAAATTCCGCCTGAGACCTTCTCTTCAAAGGCAAGCATATAGATCAGTGACAAATTATTTACTCCCACATTAGAAGAAAGAGAAAGACAAGGCCAGAGAAGAAAGAGAAGAAGAAAGACAACGTAAAAACAGTTTTGGGAAGTTTCTCTTTAGTAATTTTAGTCAAAGATCCACATTGCTAAACAAATTTAAACACTACCAAGTTCATTTAAGGACTAAAGAAGCTCGCTTACTATCAGCAGATAGCATTTTTTATTTTCAGAATATGCCATTTCTTAGTTCGAAAAACTATCACTTTCAAAACGAGGCTAAGTGCAAAACCTTTCCGTGAAAATGTGTTTTATTCGCATGAGAATAAAAAAGCATTTCCATGTCAATGGCTTAGCACTAAGCCTCGCTTTGAAACAGAGTCTTGGGGCAACTCCGAAATGACCTGTTTTGTAGGGTTAAAGAAGTGTAAATTGATTCTTTCATGCGTTAATGACCTGGATATCTCCTTGTTTATCAACAGTTATCGGGAAGAAAGACACATATACACATTAAAGTATTAACTGGACCTACTAAATAATTAAACTGACTTGTCAAATGGATGTGATCTGCGATTCAAATTAACACGTAAAGATTAAAAATTAACCTTATAGAAACATGATGTTTCGACGTACAGAAACGATACACAATATACTATAGAAAAGGAAGGTGTGAAAAAAAAAAGAATTAAAACAAAAACATAAAAAACATCGATTAAACAGCAAATATCTGGTCCTTAGTAACTGCTTCAGTTCTTGTACATGGTGTTCTACAGCAATCATGTTCTTTCTTCTCTTCTTTCTTCTCTTCTAAACATCCTTACAAAAATTATAAATAAGATCGAAGACATAAATAATGATACAGCCATAAAAAGACGAGGTATCAATGCATCAGCTTGTTTGCTCTTCCATTCTCCATCACAACTCCAGCGAGCAAAATGTTCACAATTATTGGTAAGCAAATTATATCCTTCTCCACCAACTCTGGAATTAGCTCTGTCTACAATTTCCGAAATCGGAAGGCTACAATGTTTTTCTACATACGGTTTATCAAATTCTTTGATGAAAGCGTTGCATTTTTCCTTCTTTATGACTGCCATGCTGGGATTTGTGGTGGAATAAAATGCACTGTTATAATTCCATGGACTGTCAGAGGTATTCAGTCCTCTAGTAGACGTTACGTGGAAGATGTCTCCATTTTCTCCACGGACTGCATAGTGGTCGTAGAAGGGTCTTGGGAAAACTATCAAATCACCAACTGAACCAGGACAAGCGTTAGTTTCCTCTGAGGCCATTTTCTTGTAAGATAGCATGATTTCATATAGTGCAAATCAGTGTCGTAACCTCGATCTATTAACAAATCGACTAAAGTGCTCGTGTAATCATAAAAATTATCTATGATAAAATGCAATCTCGCAAAACTTTTACTATCCAATTAAATCTCTTTCGAAATTCACGCTAGATGACGTGGCTTCTTGAAATGACTGTCTATTGTCAAACAGCTGCGTGTTAGTTCTGTTGTGACCATGAAAATTTGATGAAACCTCTCCTCCCGTTGAAAGTTGAATTTAGGGTCAAAAGCTCCATTGATAACTTGGTCAACACATCTACCTGTAACTGCATCAAAAACGCTTCTGGATCTGATCTCCTGATTCAGAAACCGGTTTAGGCGAATTAAGTGCAACGATCGAACGTGCGGTGGTTTCATGCATAGGCGAATTACAGTGACTCGTTTAGGGTTACACGCGAAAAAATATAAAAATATGTATTTGATATGTATATTTTTAAATCGTTTTATTTACTCCGTCCATATAATCCAAGTTTTCTATAACATCATACGTAAAGAAGACGTCTTTGTCCGCCATTGTTTTAGAAGAGTTTGATAGGAAACTTGGCTGCTGACACAAAACGATTATTTGATCACGGCTAAAAATATTCACAAGCTTGATATTTGATTCTTGTGCCAAAGATGCAATATGAATCGTCATAAGATTGATGACGATGCTTTTAGAAACTACTTATGGGTAAAAGTATTCGACGATAATGCCTCTGCCATCATTAAAAGTCACTGTATTTTTCATTTGTCTGTGTTTTAACAAGGTATCTTGTAGGGGTCAAAAAAATCTTGGGCCACGCCCAGATCGGTATCCTTTAGGGGTTTAATTCAAAATTTCCGACTAGCATCCCCACACCTTTCATAAGCGGAGTTCCCCCCCGGGCGATTACGACTTGATGCCTAGGCCATCTGAACCATGATTTGAAACTTAAGTATGTCAAAACAGACAAAAGCCATCCAGTTTAGCGACACTTTTCGGCATATCGACGGCTTACATTATTCAGCGTTAGCAATAAGGATTTGTTTGGAAATTACATCAGGGCCATTTACCCGTCGGAATTGGAACTTATGGACAGTTGCACATCATCAACTGAAAGTGCACGAGTGCAATATCGATGCAAGATTCAAGCTTGGTGATAATAACTCACCTTTCCATATATAGAGGATATTACACGGTGGCGAGAAGATATGAATTTTATGTTCGAGTGGCAAGAACAATATCAATGTTCTTGCCACGAGAACATAAAATTCATATCTTCGAGCTAACGTGTAATGTTCTTTTTATTATACGGAGAAACCAATTCAACAAAAGCAAAAGGCGGGAATCGTGACGTCATTGAACGATACGACACTCACAAAGGTGACATACGGAAAATACACCACTCGGGTCCCGGATGAAGTGGCGTATGGAATCCACGAGTGGTTTAGTTCGCAGTAAAACACTCTCCTCCATATAATAATAGCATCTACGATCAGGGAGAGAGATGACTTTGCATTCCGAAAGAAATGTTCCTCACAATTGACAATGCAATGGCATCCCAGCAAACACGGCCCATTCCTTTGGGTTGATGTAATTGTGCATGTATGTGCGCTTTTGGCGCTTGTACTTTTATTATGGCGCGTGCTTTATTGTTTATTTTCTTGTTTAGTTGACGACGTGTGCGTTTAGCTTGCTTTTTGAAGTATTGCATTTACTTTGTGTTGTTTTCCTAGCAAGTATCTTTGTCGGCGGAAACTGCGCTCACGTTCGGTGTTGTGCAATTGGTATAGGACTGAAATGGTGCCGAAACCATTTTCGTGTGCACATAACTTATGATTTACAGATATTTCCAGCAGCGACAACGAATTTGAGGTCTGTCTCACTGGAAATGAAAGTCCTTCAACTGGGGTCATTCTTTTTAGCGGGGTCTTCAGCCTGTACAGCTCTTGCCTTTGGACACATCGCTATATTTAAGCTCATATTACGTACACCTCAATAGCACGGGCACCCAAGCGTGTCCGAGGTAACAGAGGCTGACTGTTTCATTATCTCAGTGGGTCTGTATATAAACGTCGAGTATAAATTCAGTCAGAATTAAGAATTACCTACCGTTTACTTTCATCAAAACAATAATGGTTGAGTGATCGGCGGGAAGTTTCCATCTAAGCTAGCCGCCACAGGTAGAGAGTTGTTTCTAATTTTTAAAATTCACTGTTAGGGAAACTTTGAGTTTAAAGCGAGATTTCAGAGATCTATTGTGGCATAATTTTATCGATGTAAGTTAAGAAGCAGTGGTACCCTAACAATACCTTTGGAGTTAAATTCCTCTTGATCCGTTTCCATCGATGACCGTTTAAAGTCGCTCCCGTAAACCGTACATTTGTTGGCAATCTCTTCTGATTCCTCCTCGCTGTAAAGATGCTGTGAAGATGTATTCAATGAGAAAGCAATAATGATAAAGACTATCACAGATAAACGACTATTCGCCCTTGAAATATCCATTTTGAACCGACTTAATTTAACAACGCTGTTAAAACATTGTGACCAGACCTAACTTATACAAAGAGTATGTAATGCTTCAATGCCCCAGGTTTACGACTTTGCATATGATTACCTTCTGTTTGTTTTCAAACAGGAAAATTAAAAATCTTTCTAGCTATTTGACTTTGTGCGCGTGTATAAATCAATCTCCAAAACCTCAAGCCTGTGGGGAAGGTTGCTTAATATTTTTACTCAGTATCACTGCGGTATCACTATTACTTATAATTATTTTTACTATTTCTTTTATTTTTAGAAACATTTTAGAGAAACTTTTTAATTTTAGAGGCTGGCATTATTTTAACAAAAACTAAAAAATAAAAAAATAAAAAAAAGATTACTTTTATTATTATTAAATTTGAACTAACTCCTATGATTTTAGTTTAAAAATTTCATGTATATACTTTTATGGCGAGGAACTATAATTACCCTACTGCAGTTTTTTTGTCCTTCGTGTATAGGTTTTAACACGATTTTAATAAAGTTGGATTTATTATTATTATTATTATTATTATTATTATGGCCAATTACCTTCTCATAATGAAAGTACAATTATATGCTCTAGCTAATTTACAGGCACTCCAATCAAAACAAAACTTCGAACCAAACAATGCGAATATATCATAACAGGATAACATAACCCAACTGACAGAGGGCTCAGCCTGGTTGCCAGTTGTCCTCGGCAGTTTCGGATGTGACGTCACCCGTCAAGCTTGTCGGGCGGAATCATCCAGATGGCGCTCGGTTCCAAGCTTCCTCCTCACACAAGGATAGCGTGCACTGACCTGAGGAAGTGCAGAAGGCTTACAAGAGAAGATGACCTCTGAGAGCGAAGCCCGTAGTCAATGATTATTTTTGGTTGGCCCCATGCTGTGAAGGTTATGGTTACATGTGCCCTTGTCTCTTTTTTGTCACTGACAACAGGTTCATCTTCAGAAGCTTCATCGCCGCTAAGTGAAATCTTTCATTTTTTCTCTCTAAGTTACATGGTGCCTTTGATAAATTAAGCTACCTGGTGGCATTTTAAGAACGGGGCATGAAAAAAGAGATGGAAGCGAGGAGCAGAGAGAGTCCTCGCACTTTTTCCTCGCGTTTACGTTTTCTTTTAATTTCGCTCGTCCCGATTAACACTTTAAACCCTAAGATCAAAATTTGAATTCTCATTTGTTGCCCCTATTCATTGATATTGCCCTTATTTAATGATCTTGGTAAAATATCAAGCAAATTCATCTTGTGTGATTATGTCCGTATTTCTCATGACCGCTCTTTTTTACAAAGCATTGATATCACAAGGAGAAATTTGATGCTGATCACTCGTAGCGCTTAAAAGGTTAACAAAGGGCGTGGAATTGGCTAATTGAATATATAAGCAGTTGACCGCCGACTTACTAAATTGACAGGCTCTATTTATTCTACAATGAGCCAATCAATATGTTATCTCAGAGAAAAACTATTCCGTTGGAAGGCCAAAAGAAGAGTTATATGCTAGAACGAATAAATAATCGTTTTAACAAGAAAATCCCGAGGTGTTCCAAAACAAATGCGCCTGACCATCTTGCAGTAGTCGATCAGCTTCATTTGAGCTGAATGATTTTAGGTACAGAGTTACTTTCTAAGTGAAAATCTGTACAGCTGAAAACTGAATTACAGAACCAGTAATTGTTAGTTATTATCAGGAGGGCCTTATGTCATTACTGGTTATTTTTTCACATGGTGTATATGTTTTTGACCTAAGAAGTCACTTGGGTAATAGTTATGACAGGGAATCGCGAGTTAAGAGTGAATAAAGACAAGGCTGGAAACGTTTCAAAAGTAAAAACAAATTTATTTTACGAATGTATGCGTTCCATTACACTACTTTATGAAGATGAAACTTCGCAACAAACTCATTTCGTAACTAACTTAGACATTTACGGTTATACTGTTATTGGCTTTATTTCCATCTAAAATATTCCCGATAAAGTAAGTCTTTTTCCTTTTTTGCGCGCCAGAAGGTTTGTCCTCCTACATTTATTTTCAGAACACACTTTCTCTAGCAAAATCTTTCTCTTTTTCTTCAGTGACGACTGTAATCTCGCCAAAAAGTTGTAACAGATTTTTTCAATTATTTTATCACATGGTTGTAATGTCGATAATTATACTTACTAATCAAGCCCGCGTTGCTGAAAGTGTGTTTGTCTATAACAAAAAAGGCTGCAAAAAAAGCTACAAAAAACGCTGAACGTCATAAATTACTCAAGAGTATGGAGTTGTGAAGAGGTAAGCCTGCATCAACCTCGTTCGTTACCAGGGTTTTTCCTTTAGCAAATGGGAGGGGCGGAAAAGCCCTGGGGACGAGGCTGTGTCTGATTCGGGTAGTTTTACGTTTTTTTCTGCTTCAATCCGTTTGCAAAACTCCCGTAATGCACCTTGCTTTCCCTCCAAATTTGCATAAGCATTGTCTTCAATTTCTCTAGGGACAACTGCAACCCAGGAGAGGTTGAAAGCAAAGTTATGCCAAACTTTGGGGGCACACAAGGTGTATTACGGGAGATGTAAAAATGACAAATCTAATCGTTCAGCTCACTGATCTACCTACTGTAATATACACAAAGACAGACATGAAAGAAATCAACAAACAATGCTTCGTAGAATAGCTCGTAAAGACGAGCTTAATTCGATGCGTCGATGTGAATGGGCTGGTACTGACGAACGGTCCCTCGTTTCTTTCGCCACGCCATGTAAGACATAGCGATCACACAGACACTGATGAGAACCCCGAGGGCGGCAACGACAGGCGTCTGGTAACCTAGAAAGAAAAAATGAAATGTTTGACGTTAAAATTCTAGACTTGTTAATGTTGCTTCCTGATCACTTAACATCAACACTCAAAAAGAGAAAAAATAGTCACTTGGTAAAGTAAATGCTAAGAATTGAGCAGATGAGTTATCGAAATATACTTTTACAACTGCAACATATGTTGGTTAGGGAAGTGGACTTACTTCATTTTCATCGTGCTGGTAAAGATAATTTTTCACTTCAAAATCTATAGAGTGTTTTCACTGACATGGCCAGCATCTATGCAAATTTATTGGAACAAAAGAATACGTTTGCATAAGAAAGGAGTTCAACTCCCACAGGACTGGTTTGGGACACCAACATGGCCGCCGTTTCATTGTTTTGGGACACCAATATGGCCGCCGTGACGTCATGTGAAAACACCCTATAGGAAATGGGAACAGGTCTTCGATGCAAAAGTTTCTGGGATCGATTTGTGGACAAGCGTTAGTTATGATTTGTCGATAGTATCCAAGGCAAACATTAACCAATCGTAACTAACGTTTGTCCACGCAAACAATCCCAGAAGTCAATCATCGCTCTTAGTCTCCCTACTGTTTGTAGAATGACTGAGTGGCGAATGCGGTGTTCGTAAAACGTTAAAGAAAAGAAAAACGCTAACCTGTTTTCTGTATAGCTATCTCAAACTTTGTAAGTTGTCAAACAAACGGTAAAGGAAACTCATTCTACTTACTACTTCTTTTAGTCACGCTCTTTGCTACTTGCAGACTCTGATCCGACTCGAGGGTTTCATCTGCTTCAATTTCCCTCTTCTGTCGATCCGGGGAGAATGGGCCTTGGGCCAGAGGATACACGTTTTCCTCCTCAGCTTCAGGAAGAGTTTCCTCGCTCCTACGCGCACGTTTTATGCAGCCTCTAGCGCACCTGGAGAAGGGATTCCTAGCGTTGCAGATTTTAACTCTGCAGTGAAAAAACACGTAAGGATGTTTGCTGACATACTGGAAGGCTTCCAAGCTGAAAAGCTGAGTTTGGTTGTCAGGCTGTTGGTGGAACTGCAGGGTTTCATCCACTGCGCATCTGAAAACAAAACATTAATCGGGTGCCCGTGCTTTTAGTCCTCTTGCAAGTAAAAGTACACTAAAGTCTGATTAAATAGTTCTTAACTTTGAGGGGACAATTCACAAACCACGTTATATATAGTTTGTCAACCTAAGCCTCGAGATAGTGCCTTTGTTCACACGGAATGCATGTGAGAAAGGTATACTGTAATAAGAATATTATTAAGTATAAAAATATAACAGTTACACCAAAAATAATGCAACACCATTTCAGCACTAAAGTCATCCTCGGACAGGATATGATATAGGATGGGTGCATCTATTCTGATTCTGTAATTGACCCGAAGACTACGATGCTCATAAATAATACATTACATTTTTTAAATTCCTAACTTGACCGTTATCAACTTAAGTCTCTATTTTTTGAAATTGCTCTGAGTTGAGATCGGGGGTCGAGTATAAATAGGCGTAGCCAGGTGTTTCAATGGAAATTCCTACGCCAGCGTCTTATTGAGATACGGGTGCAGGTGCCTTTACACTACTCCACCATGAAAATTAAAATATCATGCACATCGCGTTTGTCATTTTTTTTAATAGTAGGATGTTTTATTACGACGTAGTATTCTTTCTTGTTACTAAAAGGGTGTTTACAAGACTTCATAGCTTCGAGCAAGTTAAGACACTAGGGGCCTTACGAGAACGTTGACGTCCCGGACGTCAAAATTGGCGACGGGAGGTTGATATTTTCGCTCTTTTAGTGGTCTGACTCGACAAATTCGTACAGCGGCAGTCAAAACAAGGGTATTCAAATTCGTTGTGCGAGATAAAAGCGTTCCATCAAGAGAGACATCGAACTTCCGGTTGCTGTTCATGACATCAGGGACGTCAGAGGGTCTGAATGGGGTCTAGTGCTTAGTGTCATTTTCTCGTAATTTTTATTGTTTAATTACTGTTAAATTGGCCAATTTTGTAATGTTTTCTGTTTCCGGATAATGTACTGTTAATTGTTTGGAGGGCTTTACGTAAAAAAATCGTATCTGTACACTTTAAAAATATATCTTTCACATGTATAACGACGAAAATGAAGTGGAAAGTTTTCGGATTTCTCGTCGAAAATCTTCGGCAGTCTTCGGAAATCTTCGAAAATCTTCGGTAGTCTTCGGGAATCTGTTAGTGCTAAAATGCCTAAAATTAAACTGCTTCATGTAATAGAGCCAAAAAATTAAGAGTTGAGTGTTATCGAGGTACTTGCATTCGCCCCTCACATCAGTTTAAATATGATATACTTACCCATCTCTTATAACAACGTATCTGGGCCGCGAACTTCTGTCCTGAGATGGGGTAGCAAAGCAGTTCAAGGCCAAAATCGACAGTCGCTTATCTTCGGTGTCGACATGCACCCTAAAATACAGTCTTTCCCGAATGTAGACCATCACAGGGAAGTCGTCCGGAGAGACTGGGTTTCTGAATCTAAAATACATGTGAAATAGAACGACAAACATAATAATTGAGTAATCGTTCTCACGGTTGAGTGAAAAGGTAAAGAAAAAAAAAGTTTTTTCTAGAGATTTTCTTATTGTTCCAAATTTCGCTCTTTCGTGACGGACAAAATGCACAGGTTAGTAATCGCATCGGAGAATTTGCAGCGTAGAAGTTTGGGAAAGGTGCATGTGGTCGCGAGCTGCAATTGGAGTTTGTGAAAACTGTGTTCACCAAATAATCTATTTTGCCACAGCATAATTTGTTACGCGGCGAACAAAGGTTTCATTCAGGGATGTTCTGAAATGAGAATCCATTAGATGGGCTTTTAACTTTCTCTCATTTTTTTCAAGATCAATCAGAATGGTGGCAGTATGTGCTTTCGCTTTTCAAAAGTACACCCTCGTTGAGCGATCAGTTGCCCTGTAAGCTAAACAGCTTACGGGCCGAATACTGACTAGAATAAGCAGAAGTATCAACTTACCGTGGGTTTGTGAATAAGTCCATAGTGATGGTGAACTTTCCAAATGCTTTGGAGGAGAAAATGATTTTCTTGCTCCTCGGCTTCAGTCCAACTGACGAAACCACGCCAAATCTGGAGTAGAAGCAGAAGAATGGGATCTCTGCCTCCCGCACGCGTGTTACTATCTGGTTCCTTCTCAATGGTATTTCCAAAACAATGTTGCTATAGACAAAATATTCTCCTTTTTTTTTTAGCTTTGTCTTGCAGCCTGTGAGACTGGTTGATAGATAATAGTGAGTTGCATTTCCTTCTGCTGTGCATCTAGGGTCAAGAAGCCTCAGGTGCTCTCGGTCCAAACCTCTGAGAAGGGACCTGGGCAGGATGATGGTCATGTCATTCTGTCCGCAGTAAAGGTCCACTCCCTCCGCTGGTTTAGTATACAGAGAAAGCAAAACAATAACATTGGTATTTACTAGTAATAACCAAAGGTTGAGTGCAGCGACAACGATCCAAGGTCAAAACGCTTTTTCTGTAAGGCTGTGCTTTGCGTAAGTTTCATTTAACAGATGGTCAAAACACGTGTGATCAGATTACGAGTGACAGACGTTCTAAACGCGCGTGATCAAATTGCGTTCTGTGCATTCCATTCATTCTTAGTGGAAGTCCAAACGAATGCTGGCTACATACATGCGAATTTAATCCAGTAGGAAGTTAAGGTCCCCAGTGGGGCTCATTATTTCATTAATTCATCTCCCGTCATAGACCTTGTCATGTTTTGGAAGCCATCTTGACGAGTAGGCAACCTCGTGAGAAATTACAGGGTTTGCATGAGAATTTATATCGAATAATTTCCATAAAACGGCTGTTCCGAAAAAAATATGAATTGTAAACTAAAGCTTCACTCCTAAGGATTCTCCTGAAAATAAATTGGAGGGCGTTACATGCAGCTACATGCGCTAGAACCACTTTTTAAAATTTTCCATACAATTTTCTGTAAAAATTGTTCTTCCTGCCGACTAAAATTTACCGGGGAAATTGCAGACAAATATGTGGAAAATTTAAAGCAAGCGTCTAGAGAAATTTAAGCACAGATACGGCCCCAAAAGTTTTTAAGTAGAATCATTAATTTGCTGTGTAGCTTTGGTTTAAAATTCATATTTTTTCTGAACAATCGTCTTACGGTAATTATTTGACATTACATTCTCATACAAACACTGTTGTTTCTCACGCTCTTGCCTTCTCGTCAAGATGGCTTCCAAACCGTAACAAGGTCTATTCCGACCAAAGTCTTTCTTCCGCGAGATAATGCCGACGGTTTTTAACGACTAATTCCAAAGTCTGGGGAATTAGAACAATACTCTTGGCCCCGGGGGGGTACTCTCTTATATGGCTTAGACGGGGATGTGCCGCTGGACAGGGTATGGTTTTCGTCCTCTCTGTCCTAAACAGGGCATATAATTTCGCACGAATCTGTCCTAAACAGGGTATATAATTTTGCCCAAGCCTGTCCTTAACAGTGTGCATGATTTGTGCGAGTCTGTTCTAGTAATAAAATTGAGGCAGTTGTCCTAAACAGGGTACTAAAATTGAGGTTGTCTTCCTAACAAGGGTATGTATTTTGGGAATTTTTTTTGTCCTAAACATGGTCAGGGTTTCAGACCCTCAGCGGCTCACCCATACCCAAATATTGGTCATTCGTCCCTGCAAATCTGCTGGGATACCAGATTTGTTTTTGGCAAGATCTGTTCAATCAAAATAGATGTCCCAGCACAGTTAGCTTGTTACAGGCATTCAGATAATCGATTGTAGTAGGAGTACGAAGTGACAGAGCGGGAAAAAATAAGGAGGGAGAGAGGAGTCGGAGAGAAGAGGAAATGACGTTCCTTTGCGCCCCCCACCCCCTTGTTGTTTTTCCTGTTAATTTTACATCTCTTTGAGCCGTCTCACGTCTCCACAATCTGAACACCAGAAGCAGGCTACAAAACAATCTACGTTGACTGTGATAGGAAGTGCCTTCCTTCTTCCATATCGAACGCAATTACACAAAAAGCGATACCTACCAACGCAACGACGTCTGTCAGGACCTAAACTCAACTGAGGGTCAGTACATTGACAGAAGAAGCTTCCCCTAGTATTCACACACACGTCTTGACATGGTCGTGGACGGAGGCTGCACTCATCAACATCTATAGTGGACAGGGAAAGGTTATTAGGTTCTCTTAATGCATGTCAATAAAAATAGATCCAGTCTGAGATAAATATAGATATTTCTGTAATCAACTGAGTAGCAGTGCAAAGTGCTTGTGAGGCTCATTCTCACTCTCAGGGTCTCAATTATGAATTAGCTTTTATGTCAGAGCCTGATTAAAGTCACATTAAAAAGGGGCATAATAGTCGGTATGGAATCAGCCAAATTGAATTTACCCACGACAAATAAAAAGCAATAGCCTAAAACAAGTAGAAAGTAAGGTTTAATAGTTCACCTGTCGGCATGCAATCATCAGACTTCTGTTAATGAGGAACAGAATACTTAGAGTACTGCATATCACGGTATTCGCTTCCCAACTTCATAAACAGACTACATTTTTGAAATAAATGGGAAAGATACACTGCCAACTGAAAATGCTCATCAGTTGTAAAACTATAGGACATGATTCATAATTTTAAAAATTTCAATCATCAATACATGAATAATACAGGTGCTTTTTATCATAACTCTTCGCAATTTTTTTAAGTGAAGAAGTAAATCACCCATCCTCTGGAGTCTGGACACAAATATATACAAAGAATAACTGCAGAAAAATGTGAGGTCAACAGCTTAAATCCTCTGGAAAACATTTCAATGTGCAGTTTGATTGTGGTGTGGAAAATGCCACGTTTGAGAGATTAAGTTTAAAAGTTGTGAAAGTTCACGTGCTTAAATAAGAAAGCTCAACCCCTAACATGGTGCTATTTGTTTGAAATTTGAAATTTGAAATTTTTTCTTGAATTATGGCGCTGTTGGGAGAGAAGGGGTTGCGTTTCTTACAGGATGATTACAAGCGTTACCTTGGCCACATGTGCGTCCAGTATATCCGGTGCCTGTACAGTTGCAGGTGAAGCGACCAATGTCATCATTGGTGCACTGGCCTCCATTTAAGCAGGGATTTGAATCGCACGGAGCACCCGGCGGGCTTACCGGTCCTACAACTGCAAAAGAATATTTAAAAAATGCATGGTATCGTAAATTACCGAACATAAGCCCCAGCCATACATCTCCGTAAGGGGTTCTAAGAGAGAGTATAACAGGACTTAAATCAGAGGGGGATCATAATCGGAATAGAAAAAAGCGCTTCGAACAAGGTATTGCAGAGCTGATCAGAATATGTTTGCATTTAATGTTTTCTTTATTAAGCTTCAAACCTTCATGATAATCCAGTAATCTGAAACACAAGCCGGGTTGGCCAAAGTTCCTTACTAAGCATCGATCAGGGGTACCGGTTTCCTCTTAGATGCATTGAAAACACATTTAGGCTATCCAGAGTACTTTTAGATCTTTGAAATGCATTATAAGTGGCGCTATAACATTGCTATCTGTTCGGTCATCCTAGCGGAACTTGAGTCTTTTCGAAATTACGAGCACTTGAGTATTATTTTCCGGAAATTTTTCGATGCATTTTAAAGGTGTACGAAAGTAAGACTTTTTTCTGATTCCTCTCCCCATCGTACTTTTTATTGCGAAAATTTTAGGTTTCCTTTTTCTACAAAAAATAGCTTAACCTGGAGAGTGAAATGCGAAAAATTAAACTTCAGGAAATCTTAGGGAATTAATTCGATAAGCTTCCAAAATTATACATGAATGGAACGATCTAGAAATTACCAGCCTTCAACAAGCTATAGAAAATTCTAGGCAATTTTTGCTTCTTCGAACAGCTATTTTACAGAAAACAGTCGTTGGGTGCCCCTGATCGATAAATTATCAGTTTTCGAAACGTCGAACACAAGTGTGGTTTCCGTTTGCTAAGCACGTGGATCACGCATGTCTTCTTGCAATCAGCCAATACAGCGTGAGACATAAACCACGGGCATAATTGCAAATATCGAACGCATGACCAGAGTGGACGAAAACTTTTGCCCTCAGCGGCGAAGAGCGAGGAGAAACGGATGTTTTCGCAGGCTAGAAACTTCGCATAATCAGCTGCTGACCCTAAACTGCCACACCCACTATTTTCTCGTATTTTGTTCTATGGAAGGAGGACCACATACCTTCTAGTGCTTCAAGCAAGCTGTTTATGGCGTTTCTTTTAATTGTAAACTAAATAAAACTAGTGACCAGTCTAGCCCTTCGGTTGCGGTCCTCTTTCGAAGCTTGAAATTAGCATTAGCGTTTAATATCCCTTACATGTACCGAGCTCAGAATAAGAAGAAAATGGCCTCAAAGCGATTTTTTATTTATAGAATTAATTCTTACCATGAAAACTATATTTTTTGCGATCGGGTGACGGCTTAGCTACCTTCCGTAAAAAACAACTTTGCTAACTAATCTGGTGAATGAAATTACAATGAAGCTTCCCCTGGGTGTCTTTTATAAGAAGAAACGAAAAGACCTTGGGGTAAATCTAGATCTCTTCATCGAACTCGTCTTCGAATCTTAAGGTCTCTTATGTCACCGTCTTAATTTCTCAGTCGTGATCCAATCTGTCCAATTTAGTTTGATTTCTTACGTTTTTCTTTAAATTTTATTTACGCTCAAGTAATTTATGTGTGAGTTTCAGTCTTTGGGGAAAGCAATGGTGTCTGCTGAGGTTGACATATATACAGTAAACTGTAAAACAGCAAGAAGTAAGCTTCTTACTCCCACTACCACTCTCTTCTTCTACAAACTGTACGAGTCCTTCTTGGTCCACCACGTCCTCTATAAGACAATAAACGGTACAAAGTTAAATATTTCTCGTAAAATAGACCGATTAATCCATAATTTTCTTTCAGGAAGTAGAGCGTGCGAGAGACGCGAACGCGCGTGAATATCTTTACACTCGAGAAGACGCGTCGCGCGAGAGAGCCGAGAAAATGAAGGCCTCTCTTTATCAACATCAACGACGTTATTTAAAAGTTGATGAATTAGGAATTTTTAATCATTAGGACGGTTTTCCTTTTATCTTCACAAACTAATGAACAAAACCATCTTTACAATTCGCAAAACTAACATGAATTGATTTTTACTACCCACAAATAGAACAGAAACGGACTTAGTTGCATTTCATAATAATAATAATAAAAGTTTTTTGTTGCTTTCAGAGTGTTGTTCTAGTCGGATTTTTTTTTAATCTTCCAATCACAGTTTTTTATAAGGTTCAATTTATGTCCCTCTCTGCTGGTAGTCTAGTCCCTAAATAGTCTGCTTATCACCCACGAAATAATACTTTCCTTAAATAAACCATATGTACGTTTCATGTAAGTGGCTTGCTGGATTTTAACGCCTGTAAAGTTAATTGAATTTGTTTTTTTTATGATATCTATGGGGGTTTTTGCCTTCAGTTCGGTCTTATTGATTTAAAGAACTTTCAAAAAAATGGAAAGCGTGCTGAATTTTGAATGCTAAGGAGTGATTGACATACCTTAAAAACCGGCAATAATTTACGGTTGGTACGGAAAGTCATGGGAGAACTTTTCCTCACGAAGAGTTTTAGTTACGTACCTTACATGAATGGGCCGCGAACTAATGTAATTTCAAACCGGACAGTGTTTGCATCTATCTGAATATTTTCGTTACGATGATGAAAAGGTATTAATATCATGGCTTTCATGAAAAAGAATATAGAGATAATAACATCAAAATTATTGACGATATTTTAACTGCGCCTGAAGCTCCCTCTTAAACTACGCTTGCATTCCATTGTTACCGGTAATATAAACAGAGAAAGGTGTCGTCTATAAAGTCTCGCGCATTCGTAACGTAAATTGAAATATTGTCTAATCAAATACATCAATTATCTTCATCATTTTCCAGTACCAAGGATAATTGCCTTGTTATGATTTTTACTTCGTCAAGACCGCAAGATTGAATTGTCGAAGATGAATGGATCATTCACGCAGTGTTCACACTACTATTCCGGATTGGCCTTTTACGCCGGCACGAAAACCATATCGAGTACAGCTTCTGTTCACACACAAGATCTCGCGAGGCGCGGTTTCTTTAGGGAGCTTTAGCAACGACGACGGCGACAGCATCGAGGACGTCAAAAAAGCAATAGGTTTATATTAGCAAAACAACAACTTTGCACGTGCATCATGCTTTTTGGTACATTTCTTTACCGTCCTTGCACGACTACGACGTGAAAATGCCTAATTGCAAGTTTTATGGAGGACGTAAACAAGCGACGACGAATCTCTTTTTCTCTCTCTAAACTTGAGTGCGGTGCTCAAGAAATCAACTTCTGGGAAGTTCGCCTGCACTTCCTTGCCATGTTCAGCAAATTGGAATAAACGCGACAAAGATTGAAAAAACGGGAATTCATTTTAAAACTGACGTTTTCGCTGCCGTTGCCGTCGTTGATGCTAAAGTTCCCTTTTAACGAAGCGAAGCTACGCCGCGCCGATCTCTAAAGTGAAAGATCACATATCAGATAGGAGTTCATACGAAACCGGAAAGCTTTTCGTGTTGGCGCGAAAACCTATCCGATATATATATAGTGTGAATATAGCCTGAATCTTCTCTCTCAACTTTGGCCTTTTTTGATTTTGCTTTGTCGTGTGCATATTTCTCGTCCGTTCTCAGGGATCTGTGTAAAGCCCCTTTATGCTCATCAGTCAGTCGACACTTTGTATTGTTCAAGAATACGTTTTGCAACAATTCAACTTTACGTACGAATTTTTTTTTAACGACACAGGCGGAAAAACGAATGGCCAATTGTCTTTGTAGCCCAAAAATGAAAAGTGCGATCTGCGTATACTAAGAAATTAGTCCATTACCGAATTATTCATGCCAGCAATTTCAATTACCTTTATAAACGGATAAAAAAAAAAAGACAGTAAGAGAGGAAGCGAGGCAGGTTGAAGAACTTTAGGAAATCGGAAAAAATGAAGAGCCCTTACGTTTTGAGATCCGGTGGGTAAGCGTTTACCCAAAGTTATCCCGACCGCAGTAAGCGGTCTGACAAGATGTAAGTTTGCTTGTTTGTACGAGTGAATTGAACCCAAAGAAACCGAATTTGTTAGTTAACCTTACTCTTGTTGCACACGCAGTCTTATGGGAAAAAGACTGCCCTTTTGTGATGTGACCTAGAAGTCTACAAAGTAGCCGGCTTGGGGAGCGCAAAGAGTCTTAAGTAAGAAGAGTGATACTAACAATATACTAAGACCTGTTCGAAATATTTTTCAGGCGTGACCAGAGGTAATATCACTGCCTTACCTCCATGGCTTTCTAGTTGTTCCATGTCATGGGATAACTCTTCAGATAGAGGTGTATCTCCCCGTCCATTTGCAACAAGTGCTAACAAAAGCAAAATCACGTAAACGGGTAGCTTTGCCTTCCACATGGCGTTACCACTGTCTTTCATCTATAGCGGTGCCGATAGCAAGTCAAGACTGCTTTTAGATGATATTAGATCAAAATAACCAATGCAGGATTTTTTCCGCATTGCTCTGTCTATTGAACAACATATTGAAAGCGGAAAGTTATGACTTCAAACCCCTTAATGTATTCTTTTATATCCCGCGGCCAAGCTCTTTATAATCATTGTCTCTGGTACATTATCAAACAGGAAAATCAGTGAGGCGTAGCCCTACTCCTTTGAAAACACGCACAAGTTCGTTATCAAAATTCCTAAATATGAGCTGGTTGCTACTTTATCAAGTACACTAGTTAAAACCTTCGGTTATTTTAAGCAGCTCTTTATCTTTAACTTGTTTTTAAAAGAAAATGAAGGTTGTGACGTCCTTTTCGATTGGGTAGCAGTGTGTGGGAGTACGAGCACAACGATTAACATTATCGAACTGTTGTAAAGAGCTCATCTGAAAAGCCACTGAGGCGCAAAATATAGTGGGATCAGATCTACTTCATAAAACCAACTAAATACTGTACAGTTCAGTTATCATTTTTGACGATTGTCTTATAACTCGGTAGTTCGGATCCTTAGACATAAATCCGGTTTACTGCAAAATCCAAGAAGCCTTAACAATGTTTCACCAACATTTCAGTGTCAAGAACTAACTGATCATTTAGAAAACAAATTAATCAATATAATTATCCTTTTGTTTTTTTGCCGCAAGCTGCCTGTCTTAAGGTGGCAGACTGATAAAATAACGAAAGCTGAAACAGCTTTTTTATTGGACAACTATGTTTCGCTGTTTCGTTTGTTTCTCCGAATACTAAAGTTGCAATAGCCTTTTTTTATTTGTCAAATGAAATTTTTAATGATAAAATATGTAACTGATCATCAATTACATTAATATTCAGTCAATAGTGCAGAAAGTACCAGGTTATCTCGTAACTTTCAATTACTCGGTAAAATATTTTTCTTGCGTTATACAGTCAGTAGAACCACGGTAACTCGAATTCTGAAGGGAAACGAAAAACAGTTCGAGTTAGCGGGAACTGATTCGAGTTATCGGAGTAAATTTCAGTGATGTTTTGATCAAGGGAAAGGAAATTTAGTTCGAGTTCGCCGGGAATTCGAGTTATCCGACTTCGAGTTATCGAGGTTCTACTGCAGTTGTTCCAGAAGGTAGTTTAAATTCTTTTGTAACATAATTGTCTCATGTACGTGAAAATATGCACTGAAATTAAAGGGGCTTGTGTCACGCCTGTCTAGTCATTTTGCTAATACTGCCAATTACGCTTTCTTATGCCCTTTGACGTGAACGAAGAAAAAAATGCTTCGTCAACGACAAAATTACTAACAGCTTCGCGTCCAACAAATGTACTTTCCACTGCATTATATAAAACTACAAACCACAAAAACGAACTTAGAAAAAAATTGTTGGGCTAACAAGTTTTCAAAAATGCACAATTTCAGTCCGTTTTAATCTTCTTCAAGTTTGTTCATCCCTTCCTACTTTTGTATTTGCTTTGTGTATTAATATCTTCTTTTAACGTCCTGAGCGATTTTTTCATGTTTCCCTCTTTTTGGTAGAAGTTCATATGCTGATGTGAGAACTTTGATAAAATGCTTGACACTGCTCCTTTAACTTCATAATAAGTTTAAAAGGAACAGAATAAGAAGAGCTCATCAACAATAGAAGAAAAGACTAATCAACGTAATGATGACAAAGCAATCTTGAACGTTCTTTGTTGAGGAGTGCAATTTTTCCGTTTTAAGATTTATAATGAATTTCATTTATATCTGATCAGATGCCGCACAAGTCTCCTGATGCATGCAGTCATTGAAATTTTAGAGCTAGAGCAATAGCTAAAATTGAGGCTGAAGACTAATAGAGACAAACAGAACTTTAAAGAACTCTTTTTAAATGCTTCAGTTCAAAAACAGCTATGACATGAGATAAGGAAAAACTTATAAACTGTTGGCTTAAACTATGTAAACTAGTTAGTAGAAGTAGCATTGATGTATTGTATATGATGCATAATTACCTACTTTTTAAATTGCTCTCTAAATAAAAACAAATTGACCTGTTTCATGTACAGGTAAGTTCTTTTTTTAAAATTTTCGAAATACGAAAAACAGCTCGAGAACAAGACTGCGGCCGTGTAACATTGGTTGCTCTCAGATGAAGAGATCGATATTCGGTTAGATTTACCGTATTTTCCTGACGTAACACTGCGACTCGAGCTAGGTCTTGTTTAAACGCTAAGTTTCAAGCAGTGTAATTTGGAGAAGGAGAACTCTAACACCAGAGAGCTCAGAAAAAATCCTGAGCTCCAGGAGAGAATCGAACTCACGGTCCTTCACGTTCTAATTCGGATACTCTAACAAGACTAAAAGTACTCTACCAAACTAAATTTAAAATATAAGCCGGGAATGACTTTTTGCAATTGAGAGTCAGGGCGTTCCAGTGGCGGACTTCAAAGCCCTCAGGTGGGCATCTGTGGGAATTTTTCTTTGCGCTGTCAGCTACGAAATGCGATCAATTGAACGCATCAGAAAATAGAGTTCGCTCGGTCTCGAGCCAAGGGTCAACTTTTCTTTACGGAGGATACTAGTGATACGGCAATCACGCAACGCTAATATTAAAGGCCACAACCTCGCCTGTTTTCATTGTGTTTCATGAGTTTTTCTAGAGATTTAATTCGCGAGATGTGTGCCTCCGGGTTTGTTTGTCACCTGCCGATATCGCACGCACGGCATCTGTCAGAGTTTGCTTCTTGCGGACGATTATGAGCAGTTTGGGGGCCAGACATTGGCAGCACCAAACACCATTAGAGAATAATTTTGGCAGCACTTGATGATACATGGGCAAAAACCGAGTCATGAAGTGCCCGCTATATTTCTTCCCGAAGGGTTATTTGCTCGATTTTTCAGCTGTTTTTTCTTTGCTTTACCCATCATTCACTCCCTGGGACATACTCCCTTTTAATGGCCTTTACGGGGAGGCTCCGCCCGATGGGGGGTACCTTTGCAAGGGTTTTGGCCGGTATATGAAAGGGTAGGGATTTCACTTGTTGAAATATATGAAAGGGTAGCGAAATCTGTCATTTTCGGCCTGTAAAAAGACCCAAAAGTCTCATAGATGCATTTTATCGGCCGCAAAAAAGTCAAGAAAACATTTTGGCTTTGTGATTAATAAATTCTTTATAAACAGTGGATTTACAGCAGTTCAAAGGGATGTAAAGTTCTAAAGTAGGTACGTTATTTAAAGGGGTAATTTTTGTCAATAGAAAGTATGTGAAACGGGTACCTTAGTTCTGTAAAAAAAAAAGTTTTAAAAGGGTAAAGGGGTTGGACCTCGAGACAGAGTCTCCCTGTATGAGACTTTGTTGATCATCCTCCCCCCCATCCCCCGTTTTTAGAGGCTTAAGCGGACCAAATAGTTGACTTCAACCAGGAGAGGAGACGATTTGGTGAATACTCCAATTCAGATTTATCGAAACATTATATTTTTCCTTCCATTCGCCCAGAATCATGCGTCTCGAAGCGAGGAAACGGTTTTCAATGTTTTAGTTCGCTGCTAAAGCTCTTTTAGATGATGCAAATTCGACTTCATAATTTAAAATTTCACTAAACCCACTTTGGTGACGCCAGCCGTTGTGACGTCATAAGTTGACATGCGTCAAACAAAACTAAAAAATTCAGTCTGGTCAATAATATTCGTTGATCAGGCAAGGTTGGCTAAGGGTTTAAAATTAAAGAGATACAAAAGATAAATTGAATTAGCCTTCCGTGCCAAATAACGTCATCGCGTGGGAAATTACGCAGTTTTTCCGGAGGGGGGAGGGGGTGGCTTCGTTATTTGGCCTCAACGGGTATGTCCCACCCATCAGAATGATAGTTTTCAAGGAAAGTCCTGTTAAAATGACGGTAAACAATTTTGTTTTTAAGACGTCTTGATTACTTAGGGTGTCCTAATTGCCCCGGTTGTTCAAACGTTGGAAAGCGCTATCCATCAAATAAATCGCTGTCTAGTGGATAAGTATTAGGGAAACCAATTGCACTATTCACTGGATAGCGATTTATCCGGTGGATAGCGCTATCCACTGGAAGTTCATAGAAAGTCAGACGAACTTATTGTTTATCATGTTTTTGGCGGTTAAGATAGAAGGGAAGTAAACGATCAGGGCAAATTTTGAACTTAAATGAGTCAGTATTAAGTACTTAACCAAATTTTCGATCACAGTTGACTCTCTCCGGCAACGGCACCTCTAAAGGACGGGCACCTCAGTAAAACGGACACCTAGAGTTGGTCCCTGCCTTAGGTACTCCCTTTATTTTACTATCTCTAAGACGGGCATCTCTCTTAAACGGACTCTTGATGTCGGTTCCTGCAAAAGTGTCTGTCTTACACATACAGTTGACTGAAGTTTCCTTACCTGCGTTTTCAAATTTTATTATAAAACCCTTAGATTCATAGACATTTCACACTCCCCTATTTTTTCGCGAGATCTTCGAGATATAGCGCGTCTTACCGTCATACCGTCAATGTCAGCCAACTTGATTTTCAAATGTACCGCGGAGGCGGGCGTCGGGGATTATAGCTGTAGGGGGAGGGGGCTTCCTCCCAAACCACCCCCGCCCCCTTATAAGTAGTTTTGACACTCATGGAAGATGGCAGCCCGTAACGCAAAGAGCTCGATCTCGACGACCTTACGGAAAAATAGAGGACTGTGAACAGTCTATTTAATTCACAACAAAAGAAAAGAAACTTCTCATAATATCTAGTAACATTTCCATAGTAACGCATCAGAACTTTTTCCGTATTCGACAAGGCAATTTTATTGTTCTCTCACTAAGAAATTAACCCCTACCACAGCGAGAGAACAATAAGGCTACTCTGACCTTTTCCATTTCTTTTAATGGACAATCATTTTAAAGAATGTTTCAAAAGTCATTAAAAGTTACCGCAATGCGGAAAAAATCAGGGTATTAACAAAGCAGCAACCTAAGCAGCACAGTGCATTTTATATTTTTACACACAGAATTCGCTATACCGCTAAGCCAAAATGAAGGAGAGAAATCTGCTTTTTCTTGTGCTACATGTTTTGTTATTTGTACATGTACTTGCCACAAGGGGGCTGGAAAAAACCGCCGCCACTTTCGAAGGTAAGGGTCACAATCTAGGGTTAAAAGAACAAACAAACAAACGTAATAAAAAAAGCGCGAAGAAACAAAAGATATTGGTCATGACAATAGAGAGTTAAGCAAAGACAGCAAAAACGTAGCTTTAATTTAATTTGTGTTTCTAATCTTCTCGATTATGCGTTATATAGCCTTAGGTAGGTTTTGCCACCTGTAAAATCCAAGAGTCACTGAGAGGCCGAGACCCTTGTCGTAAAATCCGAGACCGATACTTCAACATGATTTTAGAATAATGGAGTCAAGCCTCGGCGCCTCTGCAAACAACGCCGTTAAGAAAAAAAAATAGCTGCTTTAGGCCAGACTAGCACTAGATAATAGAATTTGCCTATTCAAATGACGCTACTGTCCTAAACAGTTCTTTCCTGTGGTACTGTTTATTATGTTGTACAAGGTGTTTCTGGCTTTTAATTCCGTGACTAAACTGTAACCTCAAATGAAAACCACTTAATTAAGCTGTACGTCCTGTGCGTGGTACTCTTTATTATCATAGTGCTGTATAAGTCGTTTTCTTGCCTTTGAGGCTTTGGATGAGATTTTGATGAGTGACTATTCAAACGAAAGCTACTGAGCAGTACTTCCCTGTTATACTGGAAATAATATAGTCATCATTGCTGAGACTAAAACGGAAACAAAAAGATTTCTTAAAATCCATTTCGAATTCGCATATTACACTTTCTTCCACATTCATTTGGAATTGAAACGACGAACACATTGATACACAACCGTAGTTCCTTCGTAAACCATACCCGTTTTTAGACCAAAACGGGCAAAATCTATACTCGTTTTCAGATCAAAACGGGCAAAATCTATTCCCGTTCTCAGACCAAAACGGCGCAAATCTCTGCCCTTTGGTGCGACACATGCCTATACATAATGGCTTATATAAGAGACTATTCCGCCTGGACTTTTCTTTTGTAGTGTGTATTAACCTCTGTTACTGAATTATGCCGCTTTTCAAGGTTGTTGTAAATATTTTTGCCCCATTGTAATTTTATTTTTGTATATTACGACAAAATAGCCCCGTATAGAGGAATCGTAATAGAGTGTATGTTGTTATGTTCTGTTGTTCCACAACCTTTAAGTATGAGATAAAATTCAGCCTGGAGCTATTTTCCTCTATAATCTCAGCTGTAATCTTTAAACAAATGAGCTCACACAAAACAAGAGGTCATTAGTTAAGACCAGTTGCATTAATTTTTTCCTGTTTCACACAAAGAGACAAATTTTCTTAAGGCAAATCATACAGTTACTGCGTTGCTTTGATGTTAAGGTGCCTCACAAATGTTTTCAGAATTTTTCAATACAACAACGATTTTTCAACCGTGTCATCACTAAACAAATTTTTATTAATGCTATGGTAACTTTAAATGTTGGAAAAGGCACGTTTACGTTTTTTCCATGCATGAATAATCTTTTTCGTACTTCGCCCCCCCCCCCCCCCCCGACTAAGCAACTAGTCAGCTTTTCCAGTTTTGGCTATCAAATTGTAATTCTCAGGTTTTCATATTTGGGGCCACTTTAAAATAGGGCTAAGACGATACAAGAGTTTCGTAATTACACAAGCCACGTCTTGAATAGGGCGCGAACTTCACTCATAAATTGATTAAGAGGGAAATCTAGTTAAAACCGTTGTTTTTCCTTCATTTTCGCCATTTTTCTTGAATATCTAACCAAGATTTCATTCCATCGAAGAATGGCTCAATTGGTTTGTAGTCCTTGGTTTAAAGATTTTTGGAGAATTTTTCGGGGGGGGGAATTAAAAATTTGGGAAAATTGGAAATATTGGATTTGGGGGTTGTTGAAGATGTATGATAATGTACCAGATGGTCCACCACCACAACAAGGTGCCTCTCATCCCAATAGCAGACTAACTTGTTTACGTGTATACTTTTTCTACTCCACTTTATCTCCTTCCCAAGTCAACATCATTTCCCCAAAAGGGCAACCAGACTGCCCCCTTAAATTACGTCTTCACATCTTAAATAAGACGCAACGTAGCGAAGGCGCAGCTCATGCATGTTCTTATTAATGGCCGGTAATGTCATTAACATTGGTTTCGTTTTCGCCAATTTATAAAGGATAAACACTCGAGCAATCACGGTTTTCAAATCCTAAAGTTAGTTTATGCGTTCGTTATTTCTGCTCAAATTTAGAATTATTGCCTTATCATTCCTAGATGGAACCATGGAAGAAGATCCCCTGATGGAAGAACAGGAGGATGTAGGTAAATGTCCTATAAAGTGCAGCACTTTTTTAAGGAGGTGCATGGAAGGGAATGTACCCCAGAGCATCTCTGTCGCCAAGCGACCACTACCTGGGCAAAGGCTCAAGTCCCGGAGGGCACTCAAGTCTTGGTATAGGTGTGTCGCCGAGACCTTCAAACCCCGACGCTCTTTTTGTCTTAAAAGACAGAAATCATTCATTTCGCTACCCTGTTATAAGATAAGAGACCTCGTTTAAATGCTTTCTGTCCAAAAGGAAACAACTTGTTCAAGACGCTAAATAGTGAAAATTGTATACCTTGTTTAAGACTCAAGAATCTGAGAACCATACCCTGGTCAACCCTACGTACCCAAGTGGGGGAATACCCTCCACCGTGGCCTCATGTACAATACAGGAAGTATAACTGTAAAACTCCCTTAAAACACCCGTTGCATAGATGTCTGATTGTATGTGTACTATTAATATACATCTTAATATTACTCCCAGTTGTGCCTCTTCCAATGGCTATCTACCCGCTTAATAGAAACTACACAACCGAAGATTTACTTCGAAGGCCGGAAATCAAGGGCGTCGCCCATAATGTTGAGCTCGTGGATGGGCCGTACAACGTACCTGATGGAGCCTATCAATTTAAAGGCCAGGCCAACAGTTACATCGAGTTTCCAAATGGTAACCTCATACTAGACGCTAAGTACTCAATCACGCTTATGTGTTGGGTTAAACCCGGGGACAAAGACGGACCGCTTTTTAACTACAATAAGAACGATTGGGGCGTTCACATCTGGCTCGCCCAAGCAGGAAGGTTCTTCGTAAGAATCACCAAAGCTGGCTCGCACGCTTTTCATCCATTTGTACAGACAGTTAATCCTCTTCCCATTGGAAAGTGGGCTCATGTTGCAGCCACGTACGATTTCAATACTGGTTACAACGCCATATATGTCGACGGGGTACTACAAGCTCCTAGTAAAAATGTTGGTAGGGGGTCGCCATCGATACCTATCTCGACCAACGACCCTGAAGTTCGAATGGGTGCAAGGCTAAGCGATGGCAGATACTTCAACGGAGCAATTTGTCAGATGGGAATATGGAATGTTGCGCTTACCCAAGAACAGATAGCGGTGGAGATGAGAAAGAAAGGTAATTGAAAGCCCGAGCGCGCGTGTCTGCCAACTTGTCATACCTCCATGTGAGCAAAATTCACCATTTTTACGTAGACCTAGATGCACCATGTTCACCCCTTAACTCAGTTTTGCGATACTGAAATTGCCTAAAATGTTGAAACCTTCGCTAACTTGCAGAGCTCGCAGGGATAAATCATAGTTTATCTAGTGGATAACGTAATTGGTTTCCCTAATACTTATCTGGTTTATACTAATACATGAGAAATTTCTGCAATTTGATTGGCTTAGAGCAGTGGTATTACAGCTTAATTTAAAATACCTACATGTAAAAAATTTCAACCTTTTAAGGGTAGTAGTATAAACAAATGCATGATTTGTACTTGATATTTGGCATAAAAACCACTCGTGATATTTCAAACCTGTCTCAAATTTCACTCGCCTAACGGCTCGTGAAATTACGTATAACAATTTTGAAATAACACTCGTGGTATTTATGCCAAATATCACTACAAATCATGCTATTACCTATACAAATAGCGCTACCCCGTGGGGTACTTCCCATGGTAGCCTATACAGGGAGGCTCCGCCCGAAAGGGGTACCTTTTTTCAGGCTTCAGGTATATGAAAGGGCAGGGATTTCCTTAGTTAAAATATATATGGAAAGGTAGGGAAATCTGTCATTTGGGTCCGTGAAAGGGTCCAAAAGGGCTAACAAATGAATTAATGGTTGTATAAAGTCGAGAAAACGTTCTATTTTGTAATTGATTACTATTTAAAAGACAGTGCATTTACAACAGTCAAAAGAGATGCAAAGTTCTAAACAAGGTATGTGAAAGGGGTACCATTTGTCAAAAGAAGGTAAACGAAAGGGGTACCTTTTCGTAAAAAATGGTATATAAAAGTTGGACCTCGGGGCAGAGCCTCCCCGTATAAACATTTGTTGAGTACCATCCCGGGCGCTAGCCAACGTTTGAACAACTAGGGCCAGATGACCTAGTTTATTGTGTTACTTATCAAACAGCTATACGACAACCAAAGCTATGCGACATCAATCCCTGTGAACATGGAGGGACATGTATGAATGATGGAAACAGCTTCAAATGTGTTTGCCCTGAAGGATATACCGGACGGACGTGCGGACAAGGCAAGTAAAGACACTATTAGCGCTCTAAAAAAAACATCTTCATAAATTTGGCATGGGAACTTGTATGAAGTTGGACCCTACATTAAGCAAATAACCAGTGTTTATATAATTATTATTTATAACTAGCTGGCACTGATCATTATTTTAATGATACGAACATATATCATCTCGATACGATGGTATGTTTAAAAATCATTCCATAAGCGCGCATTGAATATGACACGGTAGCGAAGCGTCGAGTCAGCTTAACTAATGTCAAATACAACAAGCGCGCTTTTTATTGAAAATCGCCGCTTAAAAGAATATCGATAAACCTTTCTGATTGTTCCAGGGAGGCGAATATCATATATATTTCTGTCAAAGAAGGGCGATTATTCGAGGGAGGCGATTAATCGAGTAATCATAACTATAACAAAATTGTCAAATCTGATTGGCTCTCAACTGCCCTGATTTCAGCCTTAATTGGACAGTTTAATAGGACAGTACGCGCCATCACGCGCGCGCTTAAATGGCTTTTTTTTCACTGCTAGCAAAACAAAATTTCGAATTTCTTGTGTTTTGGTTTAAAAAATAGCCTATTGTATCACACATTTTGTTAAAGTTATGATTAATTGGTAACAGAACTTCGTGTCGTCCAATTCAGTCTGTAATCATACTCGTGATTAAACAAATCGGACTCCCGCTACGCGGTCGTCCGATTTTGTTAATCACTCGTATGATCACAGACCGAATTGGACTCCACTCAGTCCTGTTACCATTACGAACGGCTATTATTAGGGAAAATACGATACCCTCCTCCGGTGGTTCATTTGAAATACAGGATGGGCAACTGTAAAACCCCCTTAAAACACCCGTTACATAGATGTCTGATTGTCTGTGTACTATTAATGTACCTTAATAGTACTCCCACTCCCAGTTGTGCCACCTGCATTGGCTATCTACCCGCTGAATGGAAACTACACAACCGAAGATTTACTTCGAAGGCCGGCAATCAAAGGCGTCGCCCATAACGTTGAGCTCGTGGATGGGCCGTACAACGTACCTGATGGAGCCTATCAATTTAAAGGCCAGGCTAACAGTTACATCGAGTTTCCAAATGGTAACCTCATACTAGACGCTAAGTACTCAATCACGCTTATGTGTTGGGTTAAACCCGGGGGCAAAGACGGACCGCTTTTCAACTACAATAAGAACGATTGGGGCGTTCACATCTGGCTCGCCCAAGCAGGAAGGTTCTTCGTAAGAATCACCAAAGCTGGCTCGCACGCTTTTCATCCCTTTGTACAGACAGTTAATCCTCTTCCAATAGGAAAGTGGGCTCATGTTGCAGCCACGTACGACTTCAATACTGGTTACAACGCCATATATGTCGACGGGGTACTACAAGCTCCTAGTAAAAATGTTGGTAGGGGGTCGCCATCGATACCTATCTCGACCAACGACCCTGAAGTTCGAATGGGTGCAAGGCTAAGCGATGGCAGATACTTCAACGGAGCAATTTGTCAGATGGGAATATGGAATGTTGCGCTTACCCAAGAACAGATAGAAGTGGAGATGAGAAAGAAAGGTAATTTGAAAACCCGATCGCGCGTGTCTGCCAACTTGTCATACTTCCATGTAAGACAAATTCACCATTTTTACATAGACCTAAATGCACCCGTTAACTCAGTTTTGCAATACTCAAATTGCCTAAAATGTTGAAACCTTCACTAACTTCCAGGGCTCAGTTTTCAAACGGTGGGCAACCGGCTTTCCACCGGACAAATCGTAATTTATCCGGTGGATAACGCAATCAGGGTTTCCCTAATGCTTATCCGGTAAATAGTGCTATCCCCGGGGGGTACTCTCTATGATGACCTATACAGGGAGGCTCCGCCCGAAAGGGGTACCTTTTTCAGGCTTCAGGTATATGAAAGGGTAGGGATTTCACTTGTTGAAGTATATTTAAATGTAGGGAAATCTGTCATTTGGGTCTGTGAAAGGGTCCAAAAGGGCTAACAGATGAATTTATGGCTGTATAAAGTCGAGAAAACGTTCTATTTTGTGATTGATTACTATTTAAAAGACAGTGCATTTACAACAGTTACTGAGAGATGCAAAGTTCTAAACAAAGTTTGTGAGAGGGATACCATTTGTCAATAGAAGGTAAACGAAAGGGGTATCTTTTTCTTGAAAAATGAAAATAAAAGTTCGATCTCGGGACAGAGCCTCCCCATATAAACCTTTGTTGAGTACCACCAGGAGCGCTATGTGGACGTTTGAACAACTAGGGCCAGATGACCGAGTTTGTTGTGTTACTTATCAAACAGCTATACGAGAACCAAAGCCATGCGACATCAATCCCTGTGAACATGGAGGGACATGTATGAATGTTGGAAAGAGCTTCAAATGTGTTTGCCCTAAAGGATATACCGGACCGACGTGCGCACAAGGCAAGTAAAGATACTATTAGTGCTCTAAGAATAACATCATCTGTGATAAATTTGGTATGGGAACTTGTAAGAGGTTGGACCCTACATTAAGCGAATAACCAGTGTTTATATAATTATTATTTATAACGAGCGGGCACTGATCATTATTTTAATGACACGAGCATATATCCTCTCCATACGATGGTATGTTTAACAATCATTCCACAAGCGCGCATTGAATATAACACGGTAGGGAAGCGCCGAGTCAAGTACAACAAGCGCGTTTTTCATTGAAAATCGCCGCTCAAAGAATATCGATAAGCCCTTCTGAAATTATTTCTTTAAAAAAAGAACGGTGAAAAACAAGGGACTTTCTCTTCAGTCACATGTCACTAAGATTCAGGGGCACCCATGCAACGACAATTTTCGGAAAATATCTGTTCGGAAGACGATTTGAGATCTAGAATTTTCGGAACATTTGTTGTAAAATTTCTTGCTTGCCTGCCTCTCCTAGGATTTTCGAACATCTAAATAACGGTATGATTGCCTATTTTTAACGGATTTTTACCCTAAAAAGGTCACCTAGAATTTTCGGGAGCCTTTTTTCTGGCTGAAATTTTCGAAAAGGTAAGTTTTGATCGCTATAATTTTCGGATCACTAGACTTTCAGCTAGGAAATCAGAACAGATGAAAAATTTTTAGGGGATGAAAATATGCCTATATCTACCGTTTAAATACTAAAATACGTTTAACAATGCTTTGTTTAAGTGGTTTGAACTATATTCTCGTTGGGTGCCCCTGAAGATTGTCCCCAAGCACAATTTAGGGATAATAGTGCTCTCAATTTCATTTGTCGCCAGATAACCACCTGAAATGTACTCCACCTAATCCATTACGAATGGAAAGGAAGTCAATGAGAGAAAACATTTGAAAGTGGCGATTTTTGTTTACTTTCATTTCTTAATGATATAGACATCGATGAGTGTGCTTACGAAAAAGGCGGCTGCCTAGATATTCGTGTGAATACAGTTGGAAGCTACTATTGTTCATGATCAGATCCTGAGTTCAGTCTCGCTCCAGAAAAAAGCCATTGTATTGGTATAACTTGAGCTACGGATTATATAATCGTGTCATTCGGACTAAAATTAGCCCTTGATCCAATCCCAGTAATTATCGAAACATTTGCTTTAAAAATGCCTTACGGAGATTCCGAGATTCCGAATCCAGGGTAGCCCTGAGACAATCTAAATAACCGATCCCGGGAACTTCTTTAATTTGTATTAGGTCTCATCAATGATGCAGCTGTTCTCGGTATAAACGGAGAAACAATCCTGCCTTTGTTTGTTTTTCGTAACCAGCTGATGAAGTGGAAGTGGATTGTGGACAGAATGATATGAAAATTACTCTGCCCTAGTCCCTGCTCGTAGGTTTGGACCATCAACACCTGAGGCTGATTGATGTCAGCTGTAGAGCAAATGAAAACAAGACACATTACTTCCTTCAAAGCCAGCTCACAGGGTGCAAAACGAAGCTTAGACGAAAAGGAGACTTTTTTTGTCTATAGCAACATGGTTTCTGAAATACCCATCAAAGAGAACCAGAGTCAGAGTCATGTCAAAAGAAAATGGCCAGACGGGTGGAGCAGGGGCGATTACTACATATTTCCGTCAAAGGAGGGCGATTAATCGAGGAACGACTATTATTGGGGGGAATACGACACCCTCCAACTGTAGTTCATTTCAAATACAGGAAGGGCGACTGAAAAGCCTCTTAAAACACCCGTTACATAGATGTCTGATTGTATGTGTACTATTAATATACCTTAATAGTACTCCCACTCCCAGTTGTGCCACCTGCATTGGCTATCTACCCGCTGAATGGAAACTACACAACCGAAGATTTACTTCGAAGGCCCGCAATTAAAGGCGTCGCCCATAACGTTGAGCTCGTGGATGGGCCGTACAACGTACCTGATGGAGCCTATCAATTTAAAGGCCAGGCCAACAGTTACATCGAGTTTCCAAATGGTAACCTCATACTAGACGCTAAGTACTCAATCACGCTTATGTGTTGGGTTAAACCCGGGGGCAAAGACGGACCGCTTTTCAACTACAATAAGAACGATTGGGGCGTTCACATCTGGCTCGCCCAAGCAGGAAGGTTCTTTGTACGAATCACCAAAGCTGGCTCGCACGCTTTTCATCCATTTGTACAGACAGTTAATCCTCTTCCCATAGGAAAGTGGGCTCATGTTGCAGCCACATACGACTTCAATACTGGTTACAATGCCATATATGTCGACGGGGTACTACAAGCTCCCAGTAAGAATGTTGGTAGGGGGTCACCATCGATACCTATCTCGACCAACGACCCTGAAGTTCGAATGGGTGCAAGGCTAAGCGATGGCAGATACTTCAACGGAGCAATTTGTCAGATGGGAATATGGAATGTTGCGCTTACCCAAGAACAGATAGCGGTGGAGATGATGAGAAAGAAAGGTAATTTTAAAGCCTGTGCGCGCATGTCTGCCAACTTGTCCTACCTCCACATGGGCTACCGGTCGCTCGAAATTCCCCATTTTCATATAGACCTAAATGCATATTGTTAACCCCCAGCAATTCTGCATAACCTTGGTCTTCGATTTGTCCTGGAACGACTGTAATACCCGCCCTTCACTATTCACCATTTTCACATAGACCATAATGCACCTTGTTTACCCCGCAGAGTTTTACATAACCATTGTTTCCAATATCAATGGTTATGTAAAACTCTGCGGGGTAAACAAGGTGCATTATGGTCTATGTGAAAATGGTGAGTAGTGAAGGGCGGGAATTTTCCAGATTCATTTCTTTTGGGTGAGTCATTGTGAGTTAAACCACGACCAAAAAAAATGTAGAAAAAATTCTGTGTGATACCATGAAATAATTATGTTGAGCCTATAGAGGGTCTCAATGGGGTTAATCATCAGCCGTCAAAAGGCCGAAATTTTACAGTCAGTCGTCGATAAAGGTAAACTTTTACTGTCAACCCTCAAAAATGCAGGTTAATGTTAATCGTCAAAACTTTGAAGGTATTGCAAATCTTACTATTTCAGCTGATCGATTTCCAAGGACTTCTGGCTCCTGAAGAATCTCTAAACTGAAAAAACTAGTTAGAATGTACATAATCTCAAAAGGATTCTCTTTAGACATTACAAGACTTTTCAACTTGTTTATGTCTGAAAATACTTCGAAAGTTCATAAGTGAAAGGCTTTAAGTCCTTAAAGAGAACCTCCAAAACACAACAAGTAAATATTGATTTATGCAGAAGTTAACATTTCTAAAATTTCTTTGACTAAATTTCCGCTTAATAACCTTCAACAATCAAAATACGAAAAAAAATTAACCGGCGTCAACTGTCAAAGCCTCCACCCCCATTGAGATCCTCCCTATAGCTACAATGGAGGTCAAAAGTGTTGGGACCTTTCCGGTGATATTACTAAAACTAGCCACCCCTCCCCTCCCACTCCGAACAAAGTTGCATTTTGAGCGAAATGTTTGGAAATGAGTGCTTTTTTGGCCACACCCTTGCTGGGGGGAGTGAGGGGACGACGGGATGAACCCAAAGCCGAACCAAAAATTGTCGTTAGGAGCAGGGTCCTACGTAACAATTACTTGGAAGGGCTTTTCACACATTCCCAAGTTCTTTTGTGCTCCACTGCAGTGTTACCTGGGTGCAGACGTCTCCTATTTCCTTTGTTGCACGCGTACAACAAAGGAAATAGGAGACGTCTGCACGCAGGCAACACTGCAGTGTAATATTTACCAATTCTGAAAAGAATTATAGTTTAGATCTGACTCAGATGGTCATATACATGCTGATCCAAATCCAGAGGGTAGCTGATAAATTTGGGATAATTAAAAAGTTAAAACGTTTTGTTGTTCTCATCTTCTACTAGAGGGTCTGAATGGGACCAGCACCTTGACAACACAGAACAGTTTCGGGGGCGTAGGCAGGTAGCTCATAGACCTGTAGTCCCGGGCCTACACATTTTTGGTTTGATCACTCTACCGCTTGTAATAAATTATGCATTGTTGGGGTGAGCTAAAAAGCTTAAGAGCTCAAAGTGTTGGTGAGGTCAGTGCGTAATTGTCATACGTGTAATTTTCAGGATATGTACGAATGAAAGACGGCCAGGCCCACAATTAGTCGAAAAGCAGGCTACGCTCCTGACTTTGGTTCCCCGATATGAAACAGTCAAATTTTAGGCATTCTAACACTAACAGTAAAGTTTTCCCTCAAAGAAACAAAGGCGGCTCTAAAAGGCCAATATTATTTTGTTCAGTGCATCAAAGGAGTTTTCGCCCATTTTTCGACAACTCCTGACAATTTCATAAGATTTCCGAAGACTACCGACGAAGTCAGAAGACTGCTGAAGACGTCCGAAGAACTTTCCAAACATTTAACATTATTTTATGCGAAAACGATAAACATTAAAACACTAAACCCCATTCAGACCCTCTCTACTAGGGATCGAAGCAGTTATTTTGAAATTTTTAAGATACTGAAATTGCCTAAAATGTTGAAACCTTCTAAAAACTTAAACACTAACTTGCAGGGCCCAGTTGTTCAAAAGGTGGACAACGCTTTCTACAGGATAAATCTTAATTAGTCCAGTGGATAACGCGATTGGTTTCCCTAATAGCCGGGGGGTACTCCCTATGGTGGCCTATACAAGGAGGATCCACCCGAAAGGGGTACCTTAATCAGGCTTCAGGTATATGAAAGGGTAGGGATTTCACTTGTTGAAGTATTTTAAACGGTAGGGAAATCTGTCATTTGGGCCTGTGAAAGGGTCCAGAAGAGCTAACAGATGAATTTATGGCTGTATAAAGTCGAGAAAACGTTCTATTTTGTGATTGATTACTATTTAAAAGACAGTGCTTTTACAACAGTTAAAAGGGATGCAAAGTTCAAGGATGCAAGGTATGTGAGAGAGAGGTACCATCTGTCAATAGAAGGTATACAAAATGGGTGCCTTTCTCGTAAAAAATGGTATATAAAAGTTGGACCTCGGGGCGGAGCCTCCCGTGTAAACACTTGTTGAGTACCCACCCCGCCAGCTGACCGAGTTTGTTGTGTTACTTATCAAATAGCTATACGACAACCAAAGCCATGCGACATCAATCCCTGTGAACATGGAGGGAAGTGTATGAATGTTGGAAACAGCTTCAAATGTCTTTGCTCTAAAGGATATACGGGACGGACATGCGCACAAGGCAAGTGAATACAGTACTAGTGCTCTTGTGACATTGCCATAAATTTGGCTACAGGGAAATTTGCACTAAATTGGACCCTACATTAAGCGAATAACCCGTAATTTACTAGCCGTAATCAGGGATTCAGAAGTGCGTTTGAATGTTGTAAATAGAATGACGCATTCGCGCATTCTGATGCTTTCAGATGCGCGCGCACCTTGCCCATGGGGTCAATGACGTACCTCCGGTAGTTGAACCTACCTAAAATCGAGATTCTTTCTGCTAAATGCTTGTGTCCAGGCTTATCGCGTTCAGTTTAGGTTGTGTTCTCCTGGCGTAGAACACAATTATTATTCATTAAAATATTTCGCCTTTTTTGATTGTTTTTTTTCCTTGACTAACTCGTCATAACCAGCTGGCACTGATCATATTTTGAAGATACGAGCATTTATCATCTCGATGGTATGTTTAACAATCCACAAGCGCGTATTAAATATGACATGGACGCAGAGCGCCGAGTTGGCTTAACCAATTTCAAATACAACAAGCGCGAGTGATAATTTCTTTTTATTGAAAACGCTCACAGGATATCGATAAACCTTCCTGGTTTGTTTTGTTGAAACGAACGGCGAAAAAACACGGGACTTTCGCTTTTCAGATGTCACCAAGACTGTTCACTTGCAAAAATCCAGGGATAATAGTGGTGTCAATTTCATTTGTCGCCTGATTACCCGCTGAAATGTACTCCACCTAGTCCATTACTAATGGAAAGAAAGTTAATGAGAGAAAATATTTGAAGTGGCGATCTTTGTTTACTTGCATTTCTTTATGATATAGACATCGATGAGTGTGCTTATGAAAAAGGCGGCTGCCAAGATATTTGTGTGAATACAGTTGGAAGCTCCTATTGTTCATGTTCAGATCCTGAGTTCAGTCTCGCTCCAGACAAACGCCATTGTATTGGTATGTAATAGTGTTGGTTTTGGTTAGGTACCAGGCTCAGTGGAGGATTTAAGAGAGGGTGGGCGGGGTCAGAGGGTCCGGCCTCTACTAGATACATAGTAAAATCAGAACGGAGGATTTTTAAAAGTAGCTAACTCTAACTGACTAACCTGAGCTACAGATTCTATAATTATGTCATTTCGATTAAAATTAGCCCTTGATCCAATAATCCCGCCCGACGGTAATTATCGAAACATTTGCTTTGAAAATGCCTTACGGAGATTTCTTCAATCTTCTAAGACTTTTAACCAATTGGCGGATGGTGGATGTAAAAAAGTGATACCAAACATGGAAGAAGCTTGCGTTCAATCGATACTTCGCTTTGACGTCATACTGCAACACGATTGGTCAATCAAACAATGCCTTCTCCATATTAGGGTTTTTTTTGGCGGGAAAACGAAGAGGCCATGTTTTGATCTTTTCATCCATTGGCTGATAAAACAAATAACACTTACCGAAACCATTTTTCAAGGTCATACGAAAATCCCTCTATCACCAAAACTGTGCCTCTTTTATAATTTCAATTATGAACCTCTCACGCCTTTTCTAGTAAATTCCAAATCCAGGGCGGCCTTGAAAAAATCTAAATAACCGATCTCGGGAACTACTTTAATTTGTATTAGGTCGCATCAATGATGCAGCTGTTCTCGGTATAAATGGAGAAACAATCCCGCTTTTGTTTGTTTTTCGTAAACAGCTGAAGGAGTGGAAGTGGATTGTGGACAAAATGATATGAAAATTACTCTGCCCAAGTCCCTGCTCAAAGGTTTGGACCGTCAACACCTGAGACTGATTGATGTCAGCTGTAGAGCATATGAAAACAAGACACATTACTTCCTTCAAACCCAGCTCACGGGCTGCAAAACGAAGCTTAGACAAAAAGGAGACTTTTTTGTCTATACCAACATGGTTTCTGAAATACCCATCAAAGAGAACCAGATAGTCACGCGCGTACGTGAAGCTATGATCCCTTTCTTCTGCTGCTATTCAAAATGGGGCGTGGTTTCGTCAGTTGGGCTTAAACCAATGAGCAAGAAGGTCATTTTTTCCTCCAAAGGATTCGGAAAGTTCACCATCTTTTTGAAATTATTCAACAAACCAACGTAAGTTGACACTTATTCGATGACGAGAACAAGAAAAAGTATGAGATCTCGGTTTTGTGCTCTTACTCGTAGTCTATACTTGACCCTTCAACACTTTAAGTCCCAAGAGTGATCAACATCAATTTTCTCCAAACAATATCAATACATTATCAAAAGAAACGGTAACGAGATTTAATACAATGATCACCTCAGGGAAAATGCTTTGATCCTCTATCAAATTCTCTCATCTGTTCTTAAAAGAAATGTATGGAGATCAGTCTGGAGAATTTGTATGTGGATATCGGGGCTTAAAGTGTTAAGCCTCAATATCCTTATACAATGCTTAAAAACTATGTCGAAAGAATTTGATAAAAGATCAAAACGGTTTCCCTTGAGAGATCAAGTTATTCATTCTCAGCACGTTTTCTCTTCATTAAGTGATGTTGGTCACCCGCGGGACATACAAAGGGTCAAACTCTCAATAGGTGGAGTCCAGGTTTCAGGTCTTTTAATGTAATACGGGAGTTTGAATGTAGGGTTAACATAAATCATTGCAGTTTTTCACGTCTTCTCTGAAACAAAAAGTAAAGATCACCTCAGGCCTAGGCTTTCTTTGATATTAAAAAAGCACCTGTTTTAACTCCAAGCGTCCTAATATATAGATTAAGCCGAAGCTAAAGGCAAACCTCTCGTCAATAAAAAAAAAACACTGCAATAAAGAAACCCAGTTAGAGTTGAACCTGCGATCAGTTAAATACTAGAAACTTATCAGCGGTAAACTTAAAAAAAAAACGTAGCCTGATGATTCGACATCTGAGCCTGAGATACGGTCAAGTGATACTGGTCAGCGGATACCCTGTTTTGACAGCTTTTAATTGACCACAACATCGTTGTGCAACACCAGGTTACAGGCTCCCACACCAGCAAGAAAGTGTAACCTTTCGCATTGGTTTCCCTGCGGTGCGGACGGACCGACAGGCGGGCGGGTAGACGTACGCTCAAGTGACTACCAATATTTCACGGGTGGATAGGAGACAAGAGATTTGATGAACGCACTTTCAATTAAACTTACTGCCAAAACGTGGGGCTGTTAAAAATCAGTCACAGAGAGTTTTGTCGTAGTTAAGGAAGACTTGTTAAAACTCCTCCATCGGTAAGGAGCTCACTAATTTGTTAACTGTAGTCTAAAAACTGATTGTGGTTTTTAATTTTGTTATCAGCTTCGAAAATCCTTTCTCCCCAAAAGACTTCCCTGTTATGTTCACCATTCGAGAAAGAATGTACTTTGAGCTGCACGTCGACACTGAAGATCGTCGCCTGGCGATTTTTGCCTTGGACTGCTTTGCCACCCCATCTCAGGACAGGAATGCACTGCCCAGATACGATGTTATCAAAGACGGGTATGTATCTCACACATATAGCTCTGTATCAGGAGGCCCTCCTGCTCCGTATCAATCTCCGAAGGGTATAATTATGATATATTTAGTTTATGTGTGTTTTTGGTCAATTTATTACTCCCTGTGATGGCCTAAACAGGGAAACTTTGTTTATATGCTGTTTCCAGATGCGCCGTTGATAACACAGTGGAATTCCACCACCCGCCCAACCCACAAAATCAGCGTTTTAGCTTGGAAGCCTTCCAGTATGTCGGCAAACACCCTTACGTGTTTATGCACTGTAGAGTTAAAATCTGCAACGCCACGGATCCAAACTCAAGGTGCGCTCGAGGCTGCGTGAAACGTGAGCTTAGAAGCGTTGAAACTCTCCATGAAACGGCTGACAACGTGTATTCTCTGGCCCAAGGACCGCTTACTCTGGATCGAGAGAAGAGAGTAGCGAATGCAGATGAAGCCGTTAAGTCGGATCAGAGCACGCACGAAGCAGAGCGCAGTAAGTAGCAGTAACTTACTTTTTGGATGGAAATGAATTTTGTGTATGTGGAAATCTATTCGATTTCGATAAAACAGTAAAGCTGGATTAACATTTGAATAAGCTTGGCGGGTTTTAGACTTGCTGACGTGATTTCTATGGTCTTAAAGTAAAGACAGCCAAAAAATGCTTGAATTTCCAAGATTCATTTTGTTGAATTAAGACAATCATTACTACGAGCCCACTCATTTTAAATAGAAGGTCCTTGTAGTTCTGAATCAGCAATACTTGAATATCACGTGGAATTCTCTATTATAGACGTGAAATAAAGTTTACTTCTCAATCACTAATGTGACGCTTCGTGTTTAATGCGAGCGTTACGTTAAGTTACGTTCAGATTTATTTAATATAAGATAATCTTATTATACAGGTTTACAGTTGCCAGTTGTTATTGCTTTGGCGGTAGTCATTGGAGTCTGTCTGGTAGGTATCTCTTATTTAGTGTGGCAGAAGAAACGCGTGAAAGCTTTTCGTCAGTACAAGCAGCTTTACGTCGACTCACGGAACTGACGCAGTGTGCCAGCTTTTAGTCGCTGTATTGGTTTTACGATCTAATAGTAACATGAACTTTAATTAAACTACAATTGCACGGTAAGGACTATAGCGTCAAAAGGGGGACTTAAATCAAAAGGCCGAGTTGTTCAAAGATGGGTTAGGATAACCCAGGGTTAGTGCGAGATTTGATTTCAGATATGAAAGCTTGAAAAGCATTTCAGTTTTAATTCTTTTTGTCTACAAGTTAATCATTGGAAGCTCTAAAATAAACAGAGAAAATTATCCGAGAAAATGCTTTTGAACACAAGAAAAAGAAACGCCGGTTAAGCGCTAATCGGCCTTCGAACAACTGGGCCCAGAAACAGTCAACTTACCAAAGTAGCTTAACTTGAAACTGTGCAAAAACTAATCCTAATTTTTGTGGATCGCTGGAAAAACCGCAAAAATTAGAACCTGCAAAAATTTCGTGCCACACGGTGTACTGTCGCAATTTGTAATAATCATCGCACTTTGTAATACCTGTCGCGATTTGTAATAAATCCATCGCACTTTGTAATACCTGTCGCAATTTGTAATAAACCGTGTCGCAGTTTGTAATAAAAAAGCTGTCGCAATTTGTAACAACTGTCCATCGCACTTTGTAATAAGCTAAGCTGTCGCAATTTGTAATAATTCCATCGCACTTTGTAATAACTTTTTGAGAGTAATTAAACTTACTTCGTCAACATTAATATAACGCCAAAATATGCATGGTACTTCATAAACAAAGATGGAGATGATGTCTGCTAGCACGTAACATCTCCGCTCATTCAAACATTTAACTTTATTCACAGTCCTAAACATTTTTTTAGATTAATGTTGATTAGTTATCTGACTTACGAAACGCTGTATTCTTGAACCTTGCTATGGGTACTAGGTGGCTTGCATTTAATGGTTACCCGGCGGGTGTACTTCCTTACATGGCCAATACGGGGATGTGCCTCTGGACAGAGCATTGCCAGAGTAGAGGATCTAGACAGAGCCAGACACACTAGACACAAACAAGCAATTATTAAAAAGCATTTAATTTCCGCTAATCGTAATATCCATCCTACATCATTCGAATAAGGACACCTGGAGAGTTCAAGCTTGAGGCTGAAGCTTTCCTTGTTAGATCTTATAACAGGTTGACACATAACGTGGTACACCGTTCTTGTCTAACGAGTAATCTTAAAGAAGTAATAGTGGCTTCCATATTTTGGCCAACTTAATCAAACGAGGCCTGGAAAGATTCAAAATGTTTACTGCAAATAAAACAAAACGTCACTAGCGGCAAACCGTCGAACCACAACAGAAACCTAAACACAAAATCCAATTAGTCGCTGGCCAATACCTTTGAATGTACCTGTTTTTATAACACTCACTTGGGGTCTTACACTGAGCCGGCTGGCCATTTGGTCCATTATTCTCACTTGATTTGGTCCCATATAGGAACAAAAGGAGCACTCATTCCATCTTAAAACAATTGTTTTCTGTACGGAGTCCTCTAAAGCAAATACCATGGGGATGGTAAAAAATTATCCTTCCCTGCGTATATACAACTCGTAAGACCTTGCAATTCTTCCAAGCGTGTTCTGGATTACTGTTTTTCTACAAAATGGAAAGGATGGAATAAACCATCCATTACTACTTGAGTTACCCTATCTAAGGATCAAACCAAAGACACAAGGCCAACAACGTAAAAAATGATACCCTATTAAAGGCTCGAGATCCTCAAAAACCATACCCTATCAGGCGGTACTTACCTATTTAGCCCATCCATATATGGGATTATCCCCTCCCCCCCCGCCGAAGACTTCACTTGTCACGTGGCAAGCAAACATGGATTTGGACGACGAATGCCAGGTTATTCATGAATTTTCTGTTGTTAAATGTTGCCTTTCTTATTTAAATATTTTTGAATTTAAACGTGATTCATATCTTTTTGGTGATATGTCACAGGAAGTTTCATGTCTTTCATAAAAGCGTTTCTAGTTAGTCACGTGATTAATCAAGGCAGAAAAATTTATAGCGGAAGACATGCATGTTTGACCAAAGAAAATGTTACGAACATGTTACATGCTAGCAGACGTCATCATCTTTGTTTATGAAGTACCACGCATATTTTGGCATTATATCAATGTTGACGAAGTGAGTTGAATCACGCTCAAAAAATTATTACAAAGTGCGATGGAATTATTACAAATTGCGACAGCTTAGTTTATTACAAAGTGCGATGGACTGTTATTACAAATTGCGACAGCTTTTTTATTACAAATTGCGACACGGTTTATTACAAATTGCGACGGGTATTACAAAGTGCGATGGATTTATTACAAATTGCGACAGGTATTACAAATTGCGATGATTATTACAAATTGCGACAGTACACACGGTATTCTGGTTTATGCTGATCTACGTCCCTCACTCAGCCCAGCTCACTCAGCCATAATTTAGTCGCGGGAGGCTTAAGACATTTTCTTGGTGGGGGAGTCAGATGTGCCACTGGGACTCAGCTGAATTTTGCTAGCCTATACTAGACTTAACTCCCAAAATCCCCTGCCTATACTAGTCGTAATTTCGGCAGAACTTTCTAAGTTGTAAATTTTCGATTTACCAAACTAATATTTTTTTGTTTTTAATTCCCGGTTCCCGGATCTTCTTTAAAATCTTTAACGCGATTGGCCATCCACCTTCTAAATGCCCCCTATTTTAGACAAAAACTCCATGACTCTTATACTCTTTGCCGGATCGAATAAACCTCTTGAAGACCATACCCTTCTGCCAGTGCCTCCACTGGGGAATTTAGTATCATTCTTGTTAACACATTCAAAAAGCATTACCAGCTCTTTCATAGATTTGGAGCATGATTGTAAAGACAGCATGTATTATCAGTTCATATGTAAAACTCACTATTAATAAAAATAAAACATTTTTTCTTTCTTTGTCTTTTCATATTTTTCCAGCAAAAACTACGGTAATTTAACACCGGGAGCGCGAGAATATTTAACCAGTAATAAATCACGTGTTGTGAGTGTTCTATTTTAAATTTGAACAGCTTCAAAAACATTCCCGGAGTATTTTAGCTCAATAGAATTGCTAAATAAAGCATTTTCTTCATAATAAGTGTTGATTGGAAAAAGGCAAGACAAAAAAATAACAAATGTTGCGAAGAAGTATTTATGCAAATGTATTATACAACTGAAGTAAAAAGTTAAAGCGGCTACCTGCTTCTCAATAGAGTTATTCAAATGAAAGAAATTTCACAGGCAACCGAATACACAAGAGGAAAACATGGTCAACTAGAGTAGCGCTAAATCTAACAACAACCACACGGTAATGGACATTGGATTGAAAACTGGTAGGAATTAACTTTATTTGTTGCCTCAGCAATTCATTTCGCCGATTCTTTATTGAAATTGTAACTTGGACCACGGTTTGGTAGTTTCAGTTAGGAAACTTCATATTTTGCTTAAAATAAGTTCTAAACGGTCAACATTTTTTGGTTCGGACAAGGACAAAAGTTTTTCTGAACTTTTTTTGGAAGAAAGTTCTGGCCAATTGTTTACTTTTCATTTAATTGAAAATTAGGAGGACCGCCAATTCTTGGTGTGCAACCAGGTGATAAGGCCGCCATGTTGGAGGTCAATACAAAAGAATTTTCACTTAAAGAATGTACAAGAAAATAGTTAAGTTTCCAGAGCAAAGAAATCATTTCATTTTTGTCCTCAAAGATGGTCGCCGTGACGACTCTTACAAGCCAGCAAATAAATGTAAAATTTGATGTTTAGCTCATAAAACCTCAAATCAGTTTGAAGAAAGGGAAATAAAGCTCCATAAAAGTGATTTAAAAATCGCTTTCTAGGCTATAAAAACGTCAATTTAAAAAAGAAAAAAAATTTGCCTTTTTCAAATAGGGGCTAGTCAATGGTTTTGGTCAAAAATTCCAAATTTTCTCGGTCTTCCTAATTTAGTAAAATGGGCCAATACAAAGTGTTTGGGACCTTGTAGATAGAAAACTAGCCATTTCAGACTATCCCTGAACCGCCCGTAACCGCCCGTGCGGATCCAGGTCCTTTCTACCCTTTGTGACGTCATCAGTTTTAACGGTCAAGGACAACTTTCTTCACTAACTTGTGCCGAGTGAAGAGATCTTTCAAACTATACCAGAATGAGCACAATTCAGTCAAGGACACCGGAGAAAGAAGCAAAAAACCACGTGACATTGACCTGAAAATCTCCATGAAAATCTCGTTCCATTAACCACCTACCTCTCCTTTCACCTAATCCTAAGATCCTAAAAGCTTTCCTAAAAACTCTTCCCACCAAAATGAAGCCTACTAAATGCCCAGCAAGAGAAAAAAAAATGAGGGAAGAAAAGCGAAAAAATAAATTTTGCTTTCTGCGCATGCCCGAACTTCGCAAGCTGATATTTTGCATCTGGATCAGAACGCCGCCAAGTGTACGACCTGTAAACTGGTTTGAGGTAAGTTTTAGCTCTTTATAGCACGACAGTGACCAGAAAACCACTCGACTAGCTTCTAAACGCGTTTTTCGGCAAAATCTCCAGGAGCGAAAGGGTTAAAAAGCTCGAAAATATTTCATTTTTCCATTCTTTTTGGTCAAAAATAAAAAATTTGGTCTTTGTTTTCTTTTTCAGCAAAATAGGCCTAAAGAAAGTGTTTTGTGTCCTTCTAGATAGAAAACTAGCCATTTTAGACTATAAAAACATCGATTTAAAAGAGTTGAAAATTTTGAATTTTTCGAAAGGGGTTATTAGTTAATGGTTTTTGGTCGAAAATTGGAAATTTGCTCCTTTTTTCTTTTTGAGAAAAATAGACCAAAACAAAGTGTAACGTGACCTTGTATATAGAAAACTAACAATTTTAGACTATAAAAACATTGAGTTAAAAAAGTCGAAAATTTTGCATTTTTCCAAAAGGGTGAGTCAATGGTTTTTTGTCAAAAATTGGAATTTCTGTCTTTTTTCGTTTTTC